AATGTGTAATTTTTACCTTTTATAGTAAAAAATACAAATAGTTGGTATGATTTTTATTAAAAGTGGATGATAATTATTATTCTTTTGCTATTTATGAAAAAGATAAAATATATTTTTATGATAATTTTTTAAAAAAAAAAAAAGAAAAAAAATGAACATAAATTTAAATATTATTTAGATGTATATGTAAAACTACTTAAATATCAAAATAAAGATAATATCAAAATATCAAAATAGAACTATTATTTTTACATTTACAAGTACAGAAAAATAAATATTATATTTATAAAATTCAAAATATATTTTGATATTTATAATATATATAACTTTTACTATTATAGTAAATTTTTCGGGTCTGTGTTTTTTTTTTCTTCTGACATTAACACATAACATATGCCCCACTGCATGCTTTCTTTGTTACCATTATCTGCTGCCATTCATTTTTATTTCTTTTAGTTAGGCGGTAATTAATATACATATGCTATTTTTTAAAAAATATAAGTATTTTTAAATTATTATTCAAATTAAAAATATAGAATAAACCCAAATGAACAAACCCTTTACATATTTATGCATAAAATTATTTCCGACTAGAATCCCTGCTTTTATTCATTTTTGTTTTTTAAGGAATTGAATCATTTTTCACTTCAGATTTTTTTTAAGTAATTAATTAAACCAATAGATATTAATGATTGCATCATGATTACACCACTATTGATTTCTGAGTCAAAATAAATTAATAAATAAATAAATAAATAATAAATCCCTAGCTACCTAGCATAAGGGAAACTCAATATTAACCAACAGATTGTAGGTACAATACTCAGCTAGAGACTACTAATTCATACCTATAAAATCTTAGGGTGTGTATATCTTTGTATTTTGGAATGTTCTAAACGTGTTTTTTTCAGTACTTCCTCCGTCCCGTAACTAGGTATCCGTTTATTTTTTATACAGAGTTCTATAAATATTATATTAGGATTTAGTAAAAATAAAATAGAAATTACTAAAATAACCTTATTAGTATTATGTGATATACAGGTAATAACATTTGTATAATATATTGTAAATTGTAAGGGTATTTGTAATGGTAGATAGATAGTACAGTTACTAACAAAAAAATGAATACTTTGATATGAAACGGATTAAAATGAAAAAACGGATACTTTGTTATGGGACGAAGGGAGTATTATTTTTTGTATTTATTTGCTTGTTAGAAATGTGATTTATATGATGTTTTTTTTTTTATTTGTTGTGTGATTTATTGAATAAAAAATAAAATGCTAAGAAATTTGAATTTAAAATAAGTATTTAATATAATTTTTAAAATATACTATTTTATATATATATATATAAGAAATTGTATAATATATCAAATAGTCATGATTTGAAACTCAAATTACAGCTAAACAAACCAATATTCTTTGTGTTTTGTTTTAAACAGTAATTAGATATAATATTATGAAAGAAAATAGTGTGTATTTTTATGGTTTTGGTTTTTTACTATTTGTCTCAATAAATCACATCAAATCAAATTATAATTTAAATGAAAACTTAAAAGTAAAAATAAATAAAAACATAAGAAAAAAACCAAAGAAACACATCCAGTGTATTTATTTATATATATAAAATCTATATAAAAAAAACTAAAACTTTCAAAATAAACAAAGTCATATAATTAAAATATTTTCATATTATATATATTAAATTCACTCATAACAATTTAGTATCTAAATACAAATGTTATTGTATATATTACCTACATATTTTTTTTCATATTTTACATTATACTCTTTTCGCTCTAATTCAACGTATCATTTTACTATTTTTTTTATTTAATTTTTATTTAAATTAAAAATATATTATTATATATATAATTATTTTATACAAAAATTAAAAATAAAAATGTTAAAATTTTTTATACATTTTTATTAATTAATAAAATATTATTATTTTTTAATAGCTAAATAACCCAAAAAACCTATTTCAAAAGTACAACTAAGTATTCAAAAAACTTAAAATGACCATGAATGATCATATCCGGAGAGAGAGAGAAAAAGGAGAAATCAAATACTTTCCCTCCGTTCCACATAATTTGTCCATATTTTATATTTTCGTCCGTACCACATAATTTATCATTTCTATTTTTGAAAATATAATTATGCACTTTAATCCCATTTTAAATTTTATAATTTTCTTAATTTTAATTAAACTATTTACTTATCTTAATTTTAATCTATAATTATTTTTACTAATACATTTTTTTATTACTTACTAATTATAATTTACCTAAATTCTCGTATTTACAGTAATACACCTATATTACATGAGACGGAGAGAGTACAATAAAATAAAATAAAATAAAATAAAATAAAAATAAATGTCTACATCATATAAATTCTCTTTATACATAATATATATATATAAAGTAATGTGGCAATTGGGGTATTAAAAGACATCGACACTTAGAACAAAGCTGTACCCATTAGAAGTTGACAAGAGAGAGAGCAGAGAGAGAGAGAGGAAAGGGTAAAATAATATATATATATATATATATTTTTAAATAATAATAATAAAAAGGTGAGCGAGAGAGAAACAAACCCTAGATGGACCATTCCATGCATCGAGAAATATGAAGAGTAAATGCAAAGGGAGCAGAAAGGGGTACAGAAAACTGGACTTTTTTGGCATAACAGAAAAGATGTTTAAATCTCTCTCTCTCTCTCTCTCTCTCTCCATGTGTATATATATCTATATCTATATCTATATTTATACATACATACATACATACATACGTAATGAATGCATAGTAAGCAAAAAAGTTGTAAAATCATTTTGTAATCGATTGCTTTATGATTGATTGACTTTTCAACCATACATACATATATACGTACACCCCTTTTTTTCTCTCTATATATATTATATACACAGACACATTTATGTACGTATAGAGAGAGGAAAAAAAAAAAAGAAAGTAAAAGTGGTGGCAGTGATTACTACTGATGACTCTCTCTCTGAAGAAGACAGACAGAGAAGAGAGAGAGATGTGCAGCCCTAGGACCACAGATCCTGATCAATCTAAACCGTTGAAATTGGGCTATCTCAAATCTTAGGTGGCAAGTCCCGGGACTTGAAAAAAACCACATCCTTTTCAAAGGGCTTTCTACCTTTAACTTTTTGGAAGGACAAAAGTGAAGACAACCTAGAGAGGGTGTGGGGTGGGGGTAGGGGTAGGGGGGGTGCAGATGCCATGATGGGAGTATGATTAATATGAGAGGGAATAGAATTGTGGTTTCTTTGCAGTGGTATTTATTGGCAGTCCCACTGCCCAATGAATAATAATAAAAAATTAAAAATAATAATGTAGATACAGATTAGATATATATATATATATATATGTATATATGTATGTTGTCGTCCTTACTACAGCAAGAGCAGCTACAGGAAAGTGGCTGACCCTATCTGTCTACCCCGCATTTAAAGCGCGCCATTCTGCCCCATTCTCACCTACATACGTATTGTACATATATATATATATATATATATCTTAATTATTGTATATTTGGGAAAATCATTTTTTCATTATTTAGTTTAGTACGTGAATTTTAAAAAGAATATGGGACTAAAATGAATTAAGCTTTCTTGATCACACATATTACTTGATTTAAATTTGGACTTATGACTTGATCACTATTTTATATTTTATACTAAATTATCAAGAAAAATATACATACATATATATATATCATGTATTTAGGTCTCTTATCATTTTTCATCACTTATTGAAAGCATATTTGAATATAATTCAATAAGTCATTGATAGTTACAATTTTGTTCATCCAACATTCTCCGACCATGCCAAAAGATGAAAAAAAACAAACTCAATGACTTGTATAACAATGTTATGTAAATTAAAGATGATAAAGAGCTCAATATACAAAACTAAAATTATAAGAGTGTATTCTTTCCGAGTTTGATATTATTTATTTATTTATGTTTTTGAATCTCAATTCTAATAGTTATTTACATAAATATAATGATTTGTAAGATAAAATAATATAATTTTTATAATTTTCTATAAAAATTATATAGTAAAAAGACTGAAGAGCAATGTCTAATTTTCTATGCAAAGATTTAACCCATAACATCTTTCTACCCTCATAATAATAATAATAATAATAATAATAAATCATATTTCCAAATTTGAGGAATTGTTTGGAGGAAAATATAGAGGCCCAAAAGATGCATTTGAGGAAAGGCATTTTTGAAATTTAAGATTTATTTTTGTTTTCTTTAGCCTTCCAAACATGTCATTGGGCTTTTGAAGTTTTCATATGGGGCCAACCAACATCTTCAAGGTGTATTATTTTGTATAAATTTAAAGGATGTCTTAGTGTGTATATAAATAATATATATATATATTATTTTTGCACTATTTAATTTAGAATAATTTTTCTATAAAAATATTATATTTAATATATATTTTTCATTCAAAATATCAAATTATGCTTATTTTTTATTTAACGCATCATATAAAAAATTATGTTTGTTCACTTGTGTTTTTATTTTTTTTGTGTGTAGTAAATATATTAAGAGGGTTTTGATATTTTGTAATAAATTAATTTAATGTGTAATACAAATATTTGTAATTTATATTCACAACTATTTTTATTATTTTTAGTGGAACAAATAAAAATAATGAAAAGTGTAATATCACTTGGGACAAAAAAACATATTAAAAATTATAAAAATATCAATGTAAGGAAATCCATAATAATAATAATAATAATAATATAATCCTGAAGAAGCTACGAAGAAGAATGTGGGTATGAGAGCACTTCTTTTCCTGCCAGCTATACTTGATAATGATATGATCATTTTTTGTACTCTTCTTCAACATTACCAGCTTCTTTTTATGTGCTTCTCTCTTCAACTCTGACTCACATACACTTAATTTATATCAATTCTTGCTAACCAAACATCAATTTAATACAAACACAAGACAAATAACAAATGGAATTGATAATTGAAGAGGAAAACAAAACTTTGTAGTTTGTAAATACAATAATACAATACACATGTTTTTCAATATTGTTGCCTGTACAGGTATTTCTATTTTTAGCACTCTTTTTTTCAATAAATTAAAAAATAATGGAAAAAAGAATTGAAGAAGGACGAACACAGCAAGCTAAGGTAAGCTAACCGAGTGCTCTAATGGTTCTATCGTTCATCGTTTTCGAGTGAGTAAGATTTTTACCTTTACTCCTCATCACCAACCATTTCGACCAGAATCCACGTTTGCTGCGGCGAGCAGCTTTCTTCCCCGCGGAATCCTCATCCTCCTCCTCCCTGCGCCGCCGCGGCGCGAACGTCGCCACCGATCGACTCTTCGTGAGGAGATTATTCGCTGCGATCGACCTCTTGTAAACCCTAGCCACCGCGAGAGGCGGCGAAGCGCACGAAGAGGACGACAGCGAGGAGACGTAGGAGGAAGCGGAGGAGTTGGAAGACGGAGGAGATCTTACCGGCTTCGATCCACGGTCGGAGGACAGTATAACGAGCTTCTCGGTGAGGCATACGGAGCATACCCCCGGCGATTGGCGGTGGTTAGGATGCTTCCTGCACGGCGCATTGGCCGTAGATCTGGCGCCGGCGCCGGCGATTGGCCTCAAGCTCATCTGCAAGTAAAAATTGGTAACCGCCTTAATTAGAGAGATTGGGCAGGTATGTATATATATATATATATATATATATACATATGAGAGATGATTTGAAGGATGATAATGGGAGAGCATAAAGACCGTACCGTCGTGAAATTTCCATGGCGCTTCGCGTGAGGTTCGTGCGGAGGTTCCTTTTCATTAGCACAATTTGAAAAGTCCTTTTTGATGGGAATTTTAATCGCACGGTTGGATGTCTACCTATAATAATAATAATAATAATAATAATAATAAATTATGCGTATTCATTTTGTTGTGTAATATATTCATTCTTACGAAAAATTGTATTGGTAATACACGATAATATTTTATTTTGAAATATTAACTTTTTATAATTATATAAATAAATATAATGAAAAACTTGAGGTAGAGATAATATTAATAAATAATAGTATATGGAAATAGAGTCAATTTTGAACTTCTTTAATTTTGTGCAGGCGGCTTAGGAAGGCGTGCGTGCATCACTTTTCAGCTTTATATAATTTTTTAAGTAAGATAATTATATCTAGTGAATGTTTCTTAGTAATTTTTAAATTTTATTTATGTGTTATATATACATACATTGAAGATAATATAAATAGACAATTGCAATTTCATTTCATTTTAGAAAATGTAGTATTTGGAAAATAATTTTTTTTTTATAGTATAGGGGTAACCAAAGTTTAGAATCTAACTAAAAAGACCTCAAGGTTGTGTAATTTTATTATTTAATCATTTTTTAAAAAAAGGTTATCGAATCAAATATTCAATTTCGTTTAAACAAGAGAATTTAAAATGATAAAAAAAATAATATTGTATTTGATATAATATTTTTTTTATAAAAAAAATACATTTAATGTAATTTTGTAAAAAAATTAAATAGTATCAATATATTTTTTATATAGTACACCAAAAATTAATTTTATATTTAATCTATATTTTATAAATATTTATTTATTATATCAAATAATTAATTAAATTTAAATTTTTATTACTAAAAAATTCAAACCCTCAAAGCCCAAAATTTGGCTCATCCCGTATCGGGCCACTTATAAATGACGATCCAATGAACCTGCCGATGTAGACCTGACCCGGACTGAAGTGGGTCGGGTTAAAAGCAACCCTGTTCGGCTGAAACGGGTCAGGCCCACATTGTTATTTACATGATCCAACCAAAATGAATTCGACGCCCTCGTTTGTCGCGACGCGCTTGGACAGCGCGTGGCCGGCGCAGCTAAACGATACCTTCAAAATTCATCATCGACTGAATTGAATCGAATTGAATTTGGATCGAGATCTCAGATCAGATCTGTGCTCCTGCGGTCAGATCGCTTCTCTCCTTCAGTTTTATTGCTACATCAGTGGCTCCGCTCTGTTGTATCGGTCGGAGAAGAGAAATGGCGAAAGATGGGTGGTGGATCCTCGTCGTTTCGCTGCTGATGTGCGCGGCGGTTCCGGCGAGATCGGATGCGTCGAATCACAAGTACGAAAAAGGGGATCCGGTGCCGCTCTATGCCAACAAGGTCGGACCATTTCACAACCCTAGGTAAATATATCTATACTTTTTCTTTCGTCTCTGATTGTGTTTCGATGGAAAACTGCTTGCGTGTATGCTGTTTTGTTGGTAATTTGATTGTGAAGTTGGAGTGACTTTATGTTTGCTGCTTGATGTGGCTATTGGTGCGTGATGGTTTTATTGGAATAGATTCAGTAATTAGTGTGTGGAGTTTGGGGACAGTGGAATGTCTGCTGTTTGATAATTTGACATTGATGAATAAGGGAGAAGTCGAGGAATAGGAGGGGCTGAGGTAGGTAGGGTTTTGACTTCGTTATTAGTGAAAATGAAGAGAAACAGTACTGCAGCCTCTTGGATATGGCTGGTTGTAACTGCAGATATTCTGTGTGAAGGCAAATAGAAGGTAGAATTTTGAGGGAAAAGGAGCTTTTAAGCTCGAAACTGCAGAGTTGAAGAATGTAGCATCTTGGGAAAGATGAGGTTTGAGCATGAAAAACGGCATATGATACAATTTAGCACCATAACTATTTCCTAGGATTGTCTTGTTCCAAGACCTGTGATTTGGTTCCTAGATCACAATAAAGAAAATGGAGGTGATTTTGTTCTTATACATGTATTCACACATACATTCTCATTCAGATGCTGAATTTATTTAGAATTAATCATTACTATTAAGCGGTATCATTTTAACTTAATTGCATCTTAGTGTTCTATGAAATGTTAAATCACATTACGCATCTGAAGATGCAACCAGACAAAGTGATAGGAAGTGAGTAATTTCCTCATGTTTACCTTTGCTTTGCTCTCTGATTTTTACCTAAAAACACATTTCCGAGCAAGTCATATGCTACTGTTCCCGTTGCAATATTATGCTTTTTCTGCATAATATTTAATACAATTTTATATGATGTTGGCTTTCCTGAATTTGCTGGAAGATATGATGGGGCGTATTGGAAAGTGCTTACAGTTTCTTTAACTGAAATATAACTCTATATGAAAGTCTGTAAACAAACAGTAGGCCCTGCAGAGTTATTGGAAATTGTTTTATTGAGTTCTAACCAACCTTTCTATGTTGAAATTTTTGTTCTTGTTCAACATACACTAATTTTATATTTATACTTCAAGGTTTTCCCTTAATTTTAGATGCTACTGATATCATTGCAAGTGATGGACAAAATATTTAATGTACATGGATTTCTTTTATAAGTAAAATAGCATACATATGATCCGAAAATAATTTATGTTGCCTGTCATGATCCTGGCTTTATCTGAATCAGTTTTATAACCTTCTGTGATGCCATATTCAGGGGTGGGGGTATCTGATGTGATCTTGTGGTTTTTCTATGCATTTTAATGAAAAAAATGAATTATTTGGACGATACATGCTACAGTTTGTTCTTTATCATAGAATTACAGCATGTTTGTTTTCCTATACTTTAATGCTTAAAGTATGTCATCTGTTTTCTTTTTTCTCTTTTCCAGTGAGACATATCGGTACTTTGATCTCCCATTTTGTGCTACAGGTAATTCAAATTAGGTTCCTATTTATTTCTCTGTTAGTCTGTTTTCACTCTTTTGCTCATTAGCTTGTGCTAGCAGGAGAAGTAAAAGATAAAAGTGAAGCTCTTGGTGAAGTGCTAAATGGAGATCGGTTGGTCAGTACACCGTACAAGCTAGATTTCTTGATTGACAAAGAGTCTGAGCTTATCTGCAAGAAACGTCTGGCAAAGAAAGAAGCTGCTGTGTTTCGAAGTGCAGTGGCCAAGGACTATTATTTTCAAATGTACTATGATGACCTGCCCTTGTGGGGCTTCCTAGGAAAGGTTGACAAGGAAGGCAAAACTGATCCTAGTGAATATAAATATTACCTATTTAAGCATCTTCATTTCGAAATTTTTTACAACAAAGATCGTGTGATTGAGGTCAATGCACGCACAGACCCCAATTCTGTTGTGGACATTACTGAAGATAAGGAAGTTGATGTGGAGTTCATGTACTCTGCCAAATGGAAGGAAAGCAACATACCTTTTGAGAAGAGGATGGAAAAGTATTCACATTCATCGTCACTTCCTCGTCATTTAGAGATTCATTGGTTTTCAATTATCAATTCATGCGTGACTGTTCTACTTCTTACCGGGTTTCTTGCTACTATTTTGATGCGAGTGCTTAAGAACGATTTTGTCAAGTAAGGACTTTTCCTCTCCTTAACTTCCAGGCCAATGGAAATTTTGGCATTGCTTCTGATACTGATATTTTCTTTTTAAAGATATGCCCACGACGAGGAGGCAGCAGATGACCAAGAAGAAACTGGGTGGAAATATATTCATGGTGATGTTTTCAGATTCCCGAAGTACAAGTCATTGTTTTCTGCTGCCCTTGGAAGTGGCACACAACTATTTACACTGTATGTCATTGAATATTTTGCACGGTTATTGCATTGTCTGACGTTGGTTTTTCATTATTCTGAAAGAAATTAGTTGCATCGAGTTTCCTTTATCTCAGGACTACTTTTATATTCTTGCTTGCACTTGTTGGTGTATTCTATCCGTACAATCGAGGAGCACTTTTTACAGCACTGGTGGTCATATATGCTCTTACATCTGGCATTGCTGGCTATACATCATCTTCTTTTTACCACCAATTGGAAGGGTCGAATTGGGTAAGTTAACTCTTATTAAACATCATTTCTCTGTTTTCACATAAGAAGACATCATGGGTTTTAGCATAGGTCTGTGTATTGTCTTCTACACATTTTTTGTTGGTTGTTTGCTGTGAGCTTTTTTGTAAATATATAGTAAATATTCTATACTCTTGTTCTTATTTACTCCCAATTTTAATATTTCCTTGTCATTCATTTTAGTTGACTAGTTTGGACAGAGGGGTTAGGATGGAAATTTATTGAATAGAGAACTTATTTAAATTTTTTGAATAGAGAATAGGCTTTTGATGTAATATTTTAGATTAAATGTTTCAGTTGTGTTTTGTTTAGGGGGAAATTTCAATAAATCAGGCAAAAACTGTGTATACACTTTAGTGCTTTTAGCTTTTGTTGTTTTTTATGTTAGGTATTAGGGAAGCTTGTGGTTAATATAAAAAATGATATTTTGCATTGAATCTACTTTTGGAAGTGTGTATTATATGTGTAGTGTATGTATTGTATTATTCTGTAATATTAATCAGAAATCATGTAGAAAAATTGGTGTTGGGGTGAACATAGAAGTTGAAAACACAAGTAAATAGATTCTATATTTTGCTCTCAACGAAGTGCAGCTTTTTACTGAAGTACGCCTTCTTGGATTGGAATGATCATATACCCGAAAGTACCAATCACTATTGTCTTAATCTTATATCTTCTTCACCACTGAAAATAAGTTCTTCCAAGGAGCCCTGCTATTACCAGTCTATTTAAGTAACAACAATGCAATGATAACAAGTAAATTTTTATTTGCAGCAATTTCTTAGTTACAATATTTAGGTGTGTGGAACTGGATGTCCTCTTAATATACCAGTATACTTTTTAACATACCTTATTTTTCCCTTTAAAACAGGTTCGGAATCTGTTATTGACGGGTGGCCTTTTCTGCGGACCACTTTTTCTCTCCTTCTGCTTCCTCAACACTGTCGCGATTTTCTACCGTGCTACAGCTGCTCTTCCATTCGGTACAATCGTGGTGATTTTTCTGATATGGGCTCTCGTGACATCGCCGTTATTAGTGTTGGGAGGTATCGCGGGGAAAAATAGTAAGGCGGAGTTTCAAGCCCCATGCCGGACCACAAAATATCCTCGAGAAATCCCGCCACTCCCGTGGTACCGTGGCACCCTGCCTCAGATGGCCATGGCCGGATTTTTGCCGTTCAGCGCTATCTACATCGAACTTTACTATATTTTTGCCAGCGTTTGGGGTCACAGGATATACACCATCTACAGTATTTTATTCATCGTGTTCGTCATCCTCCTAATCGTCACTGCCTTTATTACCGTCGCACTGACCTACTTCCAACTTGCTGCCGAAGATCACGAATGGTGGTGGAGGTATATTGTTGTGCCATTCCCATATTTTTCGGTTATCACAGTTCCTATTATATGAAATTGTCGGTCGACACTTAACCCTCCTTTGTTTTGCGCACGACTAAATCAGGTCCTTCCTGTGTGGCGGATCTACGGGCTTGTTTATTTATGGCTACTGCCTGTATTACTACTATGCGCGCTCGGACATGTCGGGATTTATGCAAACCTCGTTCTTCTTCGGGTACATGGCTTGTATTTGCTATGGCTTCTTCCTGATGCTTGGATCCGTAGGCTTCCGCGCCGCGCTGTTCTTCGTTCGCCATATTTATCGGTCGATAAAATGCGAGTAAGCAGGTAGCTTGACCTTGTTTTTTTGTTGGATCCCAAATGCTTTTCTTGTTTAGAACAAGTAGCGTATGTCTTCTTGTTTACACAAATATATAGATGAATGTTGTGTGTTGGGAGAATTCGAATGTGGGTCGGGTCGGATCGGATACGGGTGGGTTGTGTAAGATCGTTTTCAACCACTAGGTCAGTAGTTTAATATTTTTATTATGAGAATTGGAAATAAATTTTTTATTTCAGTACTTTTGCTTACAATTCAGTTTTCGTGCAAACTATTTTTTTTTAAATAATTACATGATTTACTTGAAATAGGGTTTTATATGAATGAAAGCGAATAGTGTAACTGTTTGATTCCATATTTGAAAAATTAGTCTTGTATTAAGTTCAAAATAGTTTTTATATTATTTGTATATTTAATTTGAGTTTTTAAAATATATTTTAATTATTATTGAAATATTCAATTCATTCGATTTGAAGTTATTTTATTTGAAATTTTGTAATTGAAAATTTTAAAAATAATATTGAGATACTTGATAAAAATAAAAAATAAAAATAGAAGTACGTACTCCTAATTATCAATTTTACGAATGATTTGTTTCCTAGTACAAATAAGAATATCGGCATACAGTTAGAATTTTAATTATACATTTAATTTGAATATATAACTACTGCATTATAATATTATTGCAAATAGTCGTTAGTATCCAATGGATATAATCTAAATAGATGAATTTAAATCAAAACTATGCAGATAAAACTTAAAAACATCAACACCAGATTCCAAAATAAATACACTATATATATATATATATGTTCGTCGAAACTCAAAAATAATTCTTCAAAACTTTTAAAAACTAACCTTAAAGATGTCACCCCATCCATAATTTCAAAACTTTGTCCCTCCCACCAGATGCTACTTTCTCACCATCTGGACTCCAGTCCACTGCAAAGACCTACTCGCCAAGAAACACGAGAATTCGGGAGACAAGATCAAGAACAACATTGATAAAAAAGAAACATGAGAATTCAAGAGTAAAAGTGTGGTGTGTTTGTGGATGGAGTCGAAGATTAATGATCTTACCTCATCGGCATGCCCTGGAAGATCTTGTTTCAACTTGTGGGTACGAATATCCCATACCTACGGCATATGTCAAATGAATTACACTGGAAGCAAGCTAATATAGTAAAAGTGGACTGAAGGAGTACATATTTCAAGAGAAGTGTACTCCCGACAGAATGAACTTACATGGTGGGTAGATTTGTGGACATTTGATACGAATTCATGATATAAATTGTTGGGGAAAACGACTATAACCATTATATTGTAAATATGAATCTCTCATTCAAGTTATTGTCATGGTTATTTCATTCATTCCACCAGAACGGAATAATTTGGTATGTGAAAAAAAGAATGAGAATCATATAACTGTATCAAGAGAAACATACCTTTAACGTTGAGTCTTTGCTTCCACTCAAAAGAAGCCTACTGTCAGCTGACCAGCTGTGTCATAAAGCACACAGTAAGGCATGCATCGTGCTCGCCGGGAACTGCTAATATACATGAGATGAAAACTAACCTTATTTGGTATACAGGGCCAACATGTCCACGGAAGGCAGCCACAAAACTTCCAGTGATTCCGTTCCACAATTTGACCGACTTGTCGAAGGAGGCACTTGCGATCCATAGCCCATCGGGTGAAAAGTACACATGATTAACAAGCTAAAGAAGAAAAAAAAATACACAAATTAGGAACTCGGTGAGATGAAATATAATTCTCAGATGATAATTGCGAGTCTCAATAAAAACAGCGAATGTGCATGCACATATTATCCAATCCTATCCCTAAAAAAATGGCTACAGACCATTTACTAGGTATGCTCTTTTTCTTGAAAAAAATCATAGCTTTCAGAAAGTTTGTAAAACTTCTACATTACAAATTATGTGACATTTACTTTTTCAGCATCTAATGCTCAGTCCGTACCTGTTGATGTCCGGTCATACGGGTTTTGGGGTGTTTGCTGACAGATGGTTCCCATAGGAACATTGTAAAATCGTCTGAACCTGAGACTAATCTTTCTGGAGCACTGCCCTTCATCTTATTGTATCTTTCTAAAGCTACCTGTCAACACAGTTGCATATCGTGAATGATTCAAATAACTGATGCTATGAAATATACAATGAAATGATTAAGAAACAAGGAAAAAATTCAGCTTCAAAAGATTACGGGGAAAGTCTGGAAATTCAGCTTAGAAAGATTACTGGGAAAGCCCGGAAGTAATAAGTATAATTTGATTCCATAAGCATATTTCTTATGAAGATATTCAAGAAAAGGGTCATATCACTTTGCTGAGAAAAGGAAAAGCTTTCAAATAAGCAACTACCACAGCAGTAAAAGAAACAAATGTATTAAGTTAAAATATGTAATTGCAATTAATATGGGCGCCTACATTTTCAATCAATAAACTTACAATCGACCTCATGCATATTCCATCAATAATATCATTTCAACTCTACATTTAGAAACACCTGCAATGTCTAACATGATTTCCTTAGCAACCACCATTCTTGTGTAGAAATCAGTATATGAATAATATGTATATCAGGAAAAAAAAAGTACACATATATAAGTAACTTTCGAAGATTGACGAAGCACCTTCTTCATTTCCTCTGGTGACGAATATTTCTTACTGGTGTGATCAAAGGCACCAGTCCGGAGGACGTATTCAGTACTCAATGCCAATGAATTTACCCAATGCCCATGACCCTACATAGTATGACAAACCCAAGAGATCAGTTACAAAAAAGCTCAACATGTGATTAAACCATTAGCAATAAATTACTCCCTCCGTCCCAAATAAGGTGCAACATTTATTTTGGACACGGGTTTTTAGGTGGGTAGTATAAGTAAGATAATTTAGAAATTAGGTGATGTGATGTGATGGAGAGAGAAATGTATATTTTATTTTTTTATTAGAGTGATGTGATGGGATAAAGAGTGAGATAGAGATTAAGTATAATTAACTATTTCCTAGTTTGGAAATGTTGCAGGGTGTTTGGGATATACCAAAAAGGAAATGTTGCAGAGTGTTTGGGACATACCAAAAAGAAAATGTTGCTGGGTGTTAGGGACGGATATAGTACTATATTTGTTAAGGATAAAAAATATAAACTGCATAAACCTCCATGAGGAGACATATGTCTCTATTTTCTTGATTCAACGACACATTACCCTTAGTCCACCAAGGGTGTGTTTGTTTGAGGGTTTAGATTTTGAGTTGAGATTTGAATAGTAAAAATTTTGAATTGGAATAGTGGTATGATGTGATATAAATAGGTGTTGATGTAATGTTTTGAATGTAAAATTAATTTTTAGTATAATATAATAAATAAAAAATGAGTGTTTGATTTCATATTTTTGGAGGGAAAAAAGTTGATGAATAGTGGAAATATTTGGAAATCCTCCAAACAAACACACAGTGCTTACCAGATCATGATATATGCAACAAATTATATCAGGGGTTTTCTGGAATTTGAGGCTACCGGTATGCCAAAAATGAGAAAAGAGAAAAAATTACAGTTTCATAATTAGGGGATCATTATTACCTTCAATTCACGTATTAGCTTTCCTTGCGAAGTTTCCCACATCTTAATTGTACAATCCTGAGATCTGCAAATGAGAAGCAACAGCTATATTTAGCATTATTGAAATTTTAAGTTAACTTTCTAGAGAAACCCTTGCATCGATAGAAAGGTAATTACATCAGTATATTCACAAATGAAAATTTAAATATATGCATATTACTGCTAAGCACTAGCTATGTGGTGATCAGACAAGACCTGTCTTGAATAGAAAGCAAAATATAAACCTTCAAATTAAGGGCCAGTTACTGTTAAATGAAAAATAGACTTTAATTTGCTTCTCTCACCAACAATTAAAGAGCATACCCAGTATATATCACTCCATCTCCACCCCATTTTACACAGGTTATAGCAAGTGTGTGTCCGGTAAGACAAATAACGCATCTTCTCAACGAAACATCCCATACCCTTGCATCACCATCTTTACTTGCACTAACAAAGCGGCGGCACGGAGCATTCAGATGCACTGGCTCCCATGAAATTCCAGTTATCCATTTTTTGTGCCCCTGAGCAATTAATTTAGTCAGAAACTACATGTCGTTTCAAAAGATGAAAAGGCATGCTGTATGAACAAGTGGTTCAATGCAGCCCGAATAGCTTCCCAAATATGTTCAACCAGTTTCCAGAACCTCAAAGAAATAAAATCAGATGATATTGTATTAGCTTAGTGTAAACTTTATTGTCCACTTGGGAATCTACAAATTTAATCCGAGAGAATGCAAACTCAAATAGTCAACACGGTATCTTTAAAATCTTGAAAGATTATACTTTAATATGGAAAAACAATAACATAGAACATTCATGACTTTACAATGATCTCAAAGATATGTCTTTGGAACTTTCTAGTTGAACCAAATTTCATTATAGCATTTATATTCTTCATTACTTGTAAATCCCTCCATGAGTATTCTTGAAACAAGAGCAGCGATATCTAGTGAGTGCATAATCTGAAGTTATCATACTTGATATTCTGCTTGAGCATCTAAGTATATCATTTGCATTGAATTTTATCTGATAGGAGACAACATAAAATATATTGATCTGTCATTCGCTGCAATTCAATAAAATTATGGTTTTTCGTTATGAACATACAGTAAGTGGGTTGCCTGATGGTTTCCCAGTCTGTGGGTCCCAGCATATGAGCTCTCCTGCTTTGCTTCCACTGACGAGATATTTTCCATCTGGTGACCACGCAATGCAAAGAACCCAATTTTTGTGTCCTGAATAGGAAAAATTATGCCATCATATACCTTCATAACTATCAAACCACATTAAAGTTTTGCATGATAAATGACAAGAATGACTAATCACAGTAACACAACTTATTCAAAGAATGAAGAATCAAGTTGTTGTGAAGAAGCTCATTTGCAAATGCTACCTTTTCCAAGAAAAGATTTCTTCAAATTCTTAGAGTTTCACCGTTCTAGAGGTGAACTTTTCAGCCGGAGGATAGACACATAAATAGAAAACACCCTGCTCCAGAGTTGAGAAAGGACCTCCCACCGACAAACTTCTCTATTTATGTACACAAATTACAGTCCTCAAACACATGCAGCAGGAGTGACACTAATCCAAACAAACTAAACACTACCTCACTGGTTGAATTATAATTAACAGCTTAGTGAAGTGCATGAATTATTATTATGAAAGAGAAGAAAGAATACAAAGTAATTTGAAAACCTTCATTATATGATTGGTGGAAAGGTAAGCAAGTGAGTTCAATTCACATATTAGAGCAAATCCTCACCTTTACAAGTAAACAAAGGAGTTTGTGTGTTTAAGTCCCAAAAACGAACAGTTGTGTCGCCCGATCCACTAGCCAAGTGGCTGCTATCTGGACTGAAGGCAACTGAAAGTACAGCCTCTGTGTGACCTGCAGTGAATAACACAGGATTAGATAAGAATAAATAAATTCCACAGTCCAACTCCGGTATTAATTGTACAAATGAATCCAATCAAAGCCAGTCTATCCGTGTGAGAGAACAAGAGTATGCATAGAACAGCTGAACTCCACCAAATGCACTCATTTTTTATCATAATATGATCAACTCATTTGCAGATATACATCTCATTTTTGTTTACAAATGACTTCATAAAACCAAATTGAATTGTAAGAAATTAAGAGAAAAATAAATAAATAAAAATGATTTTCATACCAGCAATGGTGGAAGAACAACGAGTCACTGGGCGTATACGAAACACTGCCTGGGGCTGGTAAACTATAGTGATTACCTTCTCCACCGAAACTGCATTTTATGATTATTGAGAATCCATTCACTCATTTGATACATGACAATACACAAAGCATTCAAAAACAGACACACTAACTAGAAACTCACTTTTATTCTTCTGAAGGTATTGCCCAAGCTGCACAACAAGTTCATGATCTGCTACGTAGAATGCATATGGCAATTTTTCATCCTGAAATACATCAATTTTACTCTCTATCAAAGCACTTATCCAAAATCCACAACCAAAAAATAAAAACATCTTATGCTCAAAATTGCACATCTTGAAACTATACCTAGCAAACATATAATTATTATTATCTACGAAAATGTGTGTAAAACTTGTGCACACAAATAGCCAAGTGCTTCCATAGGCAAGTAATAACATTTTAAAGCACAATTAAGGTAGCCAAAAAAAATTATCTGAAACTGTAACGACGAGAAAGTTGAATGCAAAATAATGGAGCTAAACAAAACAACAAAACACTATCACACCCAATCCCATTCAGCACGACAGAACCAAGATAGACAAAATCGAAGTCTCTGCTATTTCCACGTCGAATTAACATATGCAGATCAAAACAACAATTCTTACATTGTTGAGGAGCTTATTGACCAGTTGCTGAAGCTCCTTAGGGCCAGTGCTTTCCGAGAGAAAAATCGGAGCCCCTAGGGGGGTCCCTTCAGAGTCCGTCAACTGGCATATCACACGGTTGCTGGAACCATTATCTTCCTCCATTGCTGCTGCTTCCTAAACAGGCAGCGGCCGCCGGAGAATCGATCTTCGAAGAAGGTGAAGTCCCTACGAGCGGCGAACGGAAATCGGCGAAATTAGGGGTTTTGAATATACGTGGATTTTTAGGGTTTACCGTTTGTAGTCTAGACTTGCCCAACTGAGATCGAACCGCCGATGACCGGCGGTTCGGATGTGAACCGGAACTGCTGTCAAATCGAAAACGATTATTTACGGTCGGTTCGATTTCAGTATTATTCGAACTGTGAGCCACCGGTTCGATACGCTAATTTTCGGGGATGAAGAAAAGGAAAGAAGGAAAAAAGAGAAGATAGCAGTGCGGGGGCGGCTGTAAGTTGTTTAGTAGGGGTTAGAATTGTAATTTGCTTTTTAGTAAAAAATTTATAATTAAATTTGCCATTATATTTTATAAATAAAAATATGACTTTGTTTGTATTATTTTTTTCAAATTAAAATATATATTTTTTTTTATTTATTCTAGTGATTTCAATAAAAGTATATATTTTTTATTAAAAAATTATATTAAAATATTATTTAAATAAAAATTCAAACTTAAACTATAGTATAGGCTTGTCATTTCTGTAAATTTGACATTTTTACAAATTATAATCTGTAAATTCAAACTTAAACTTAAACTTAAATTTGACATTTTTACAAATTATAATCGTAAATTCCAACAAGTTTGTTTTATATAGTATAGGCTTGTCATTTCTGTATTTTTTCTAAAATATGATATATATTTACCTTCCTTTCAATGTTGTAAGTAATTGCCATTATATTTGTATCTTTAATCAATTTTGTTATTTTTTCTAGAATATGATATGTCTGCCTTCCCTTTAATGTTGCAAGTAATTGCCATTATATTTGTATGTTTACGTGAATATTAAATCTATCTCTACACATTACTTTTCTAACTTTCCAATTATGTGCAACCAATTTACCTTTATTTGAACGATTAAGCACCCATGCCAATGTATGTACTAAATGTCATTAAGTTTGATTTCTTTCTTTTTTTTTTTTTTTTAATGCATTTTAAGCAATTTCTAATCTTATAAAGTTAATAGTTCTAAACACATTATTAAGGAATATTTGATTTTCCATGTGATTCAGAGATATAATTGTCAATTCAAAATTCGTTATTTAAATGCACTACACATATGTAAAATAATAGAATTTGATTGTTTTTATTTTATTTTATTTCAAATGCATGTCAACACCATAAAAATACAATTTTTTTATCCCACGAAACATCATATCTCAATACTATTTAAAAAATAATAATAATCAAATAATAATAATAATACCCAATTTCAAATCAAAACCAGGCAAAACCCTTAATATTCCAAAATGAACATACAAAAAAGGTATAGAGAGAGATCAATTTCATATTGGAGGGAGTATGATACTTTATAAAATGGAATGATATATTTTTGTAGATAACCGAGTAAGGAAAAAGGAAAAAAAAAAAAAAAAAAAGCCTAAGGACTAAACATTTCCATATTTCTTATACAAAACTTTTCAGACAAAAGTCTCCTACAAACCTTTTATTAGTTCCACTTCCATGTAATAAACTACTAAACCTTCCTTCCTTAGTCGAAAACATCTTACACGACCGAACCCGACCCGATTCATTCCAACCCGACCCATATTTATACTCCACCAACACACAACATTCATCTATATATATATATATATATATATTTTTTGTGTAAACAAGAAAACACATACTACTTGTAAACAAGAAGCATCAAGGGTCAGACCTTCACTTACCTCTCTCCAACTTTGGGGCGGAACAAAGGACAGGATCAAGCTCAAGCCACCTGCTTCACTCGCATTTTATCGACCGATAAATATGGCGCACGAAGAACAGAGCCGCGCGGAAGCCTACGGTTCCAAGCATCAGGAAGAAGCCGTAGCAAATACAGGCCATGTATCCGAAGAAGAATGAGGTCTGCATGAATCCCGACATGTCCGACCGGGCGTAGTAGTAATACAAGCAGTAGCCATAAATAAACAAGCCCGTAGATCCGCCACACAGGAAGGACCTGATTTAGTTGAGCGCAAAACAAAAGAGGGTTAAGTGTCGACCGACAATTTCATATAATAGGAACTGTGATAACCGAAAAATATGGGAATGGCACAACAATATACCTCCACCACCATTCGTGATCTTCGGCAGCAAGTTGGAAGTAGGTCAGTGCGACGGTAATAAAGGCAGTGACGATTAGGAGGATGACGAACACGATGAATAAAATACTGTAGATGGTGTATATCCTGTGACCCCAAACGCTGGCAAAAATATAGTAAAGTTCGATGTAGATAGCGCTGAACGGCAAAAATCCGGCCATAGCCATCTGAGGCAGGGTGCCGCGGTACCACGGGAGTGGCGGGATTTCTCGAGGATATTTTGTGGTCCGGCATGGAGCTTGAAACTCTGCCTTACTATTTTTCCCAGCGATCCCTCCCAACACTAACAAAGGCGATGTCACAAGAGCCCATATCAGAAAAATCACCACGATTGTACCGAATGGAAGAGCAGCTGTAGCACGGTAGAAAATCGCAACAGTGTTGAGGAAGCAAAAGGAGAGAAAAAGTGGTCCGCAGAAAAGGCCGCCAGTCAATAACAGATTCCGAACCTGTTTGAAAGGGAAAAATAAGGTGTGTTAACAACTTAGTATACTGTATATTTACGAAGGCATCCATTTCGTGCACCAAATAGTAGATAACTAGGATGTGTATGTTTGCGGGTTCCGGACCCGGATTCTACTATTCACACCATCCAAACTAGGCAACTAAAACAAATATTTGGGAAACGTTAAAGTGGAAGTTAAAAAGAAAAAAGAAAAAAAGAGACACAATAGTTAGGATCTTTTCTAGATTTACAGAAAATTTCACTGCAAATGAAGTACAAAAATGTGTAGAAACAGTCCACAGACCTATGTAGAAACATGATGAACTCTTAAATGGAAGTAGAGAAACGATGTTCACTTAAATATTACTTACCCAATTTGATCCTTCCAATTGGTGGTAAAAGGAAGCTGATGTATAGCCAGCTATGCCAGATGTAAGAGCATATATGACCACCAGTGCTGTGAAAAGGGCTCCTCGATTGTATGGATAAAATACACCAACAAGCGCAAGCAAGAATATAAAAGTTGTCCTGAGACAAAGAAAAGTGAACGTACCTAATTACTTTCAGAAAATGGCAAACCAACATTAGACAATACAATAACCATGGAAAAAGTTCAAAATAAGATTGTTCAGATAACTTAAAACAGTTGCATTAAACATCCAATGACATACAGTGTAAAGAGTTGTGTGCCACTTCCAAGGGCAGCCGAAAACAATGACTTGTACTTTGGGAATCTGAAAACATCACCATGAATATATTTCCACCCAGTTTCTTCCTGGTCATCCGCTGTCTCCTCATCGTGGGCATATCTTTTACAAGAAAATAACATTATTAGAAGAAATGCCAAAATTTCCATTGGCCTGGAAGTTAAGAGAGTGGAAAAAGGTCCTTACTTGACAAAATCATTCTTAAGCACTCGCATCAAAATAGTAGCAAGAAAACCCGTAAGAAGGAGAACAGTCACACATGAATTGATGATTGAAAACCAATGAATCTCTAAATGACGAGGAAGTGACGACGAATGTGAGTACTTCTCCATCCTCTTCTCAAAAGGTATGTTGCTTTCTTTCCATTTGGCTGAGTACATGAACTCCACATCAACTTCCTTATCATCAGTAATGTCCACAACAGCATTGGGGTCTGTGCGAGCATTGACCTCAATCACACGATCTTTGTTGTAAAAGATTTCAAAATGGAGGTGCTTAAATAAGTAATATTTATATTCACTAGGATCAGCTTTGCCTTCCTTCTCAACCTTTCCCAGGAAACCCCATAAGGGCAAGTCATCATAGTACATTTGAAAATAGTAGTCCTTGGCCACTGCACTTCGAAACACAGCAGCTTCTTTTTTCGTCAGACGTTTCTTGCAGATAAGCTCAGACTCTTTGTCAATCAAGAAATCTAGCTTGTATGGTGTACTGACCAAGCGATCTCCATTTAGGACTTCACCAAGAGCCTCAATTTTATCTTTTACTTCACCTGCTAGCACAAGCTAATGAGCAAAAGAGGGGTATTTACCAAAAGAAAAATAATGAATTACCTGTTGCGCAAAATGGGAGATCAAAGTACCGGTACGTTTCGCTGAACAAAAAAAAAGAAAAGAAAAGAAAAAATCAGATCATAATTTCAGCACTACAGTGCAAGAAAACCAACATTCTGTAATGCTATAATAAAGAACAAAATGTAACAAATATGCTTCATCCAAACAATCAATTTATTGATTTATTCTCATAAATGCATTTAGTGGTTGTCCATCCCTCACACTGAAATCAGTAGCATCTCATGTTAAGTGGAAATCTTTAAGCATGAATATAAAATTAGTGTTTGGTGAAGGAGAACAAAAACTTCAAGGGCACTCAATAAACTAGCTCCAATCTGTTGCTTGTTTGTGGACTTGTAGATTAGGTCACATTTCCATTAAGTAAACTGTTACACATTTTTCAATAGGTTCCATTACATCATCTACCAGATTCTGGAAATCCAACATCATATAAAAACTATAGTAAATATGAGCAATATCAAATAAGACATAATACTGGATGTACGAATGGTGCATATGACTTTCTAAAGCAATGTAAAAATTTAAGAGTAAAGGGAGCAAAACATGAGAAATTACACACTCCCCTACCACTTTGTCTGGTTGCATTCTTAGATTGGTAATGTATTGGATTTATTTCTTCATTAACATTTTATAAAACATTAGGATGCAAAGAAGCTAGACACAAGTGTAATGATTAATTCCTAAGTATAATCTGCATCTGAATGTGGATGTATGAGAGAATACATGTATACAATTTCATTTAAAACCAAAATTATTGGCATATATGTGTAAGAAAGAAAACAAATTACTCAGTAGAATCACTGCTAAAGTCCACTTCCATCTTGTCTAGAACTAAATCACCTGTCTTAAACAAAATAATCCTAAGAAAGTACTGAAGCTAAATTGTATCATATGTCATTTTCATGCTTAAAGCGTTAAACCTCATCTTCCCCAAGATGCTATCTTCTCCAACTCTGCAGTTTCAAGCCTAAAAGAACCCTTCCCTCGAAATTCTACCTTTCTCTTTGCCTTCACACAGAATATCTGCAGGCTGTAGTATTCTTTCCCTTAATTTTCAAGAAGATCAAAGTCAAAACCCTACCTAGCCCAGCCCAGCACCTCCAACTCCTCGATTCCTCGCTTACTCATCAATGTCGAATCACCACAACAACAGATCTTCCACTGTCCCCAAATTCCACACTAATTACTGAATCTATTTCAATAAAACTACCGGCCACAACAAGCCGCAAACATAACCGCATCACACATAAGTCACTCCAACTTCACAAACAAAACTCTAATCAAATTACCATAACAGACACTAGCAGCTTCCCACGAAACACAAACAGACACCGAAGAAGAAAATTATTTACCTAGGGTTGTGAAATGGTCCGACCTTGTTCGCATAAAGCGGCACCGGATCGCCCTTTTCGTACTTGTGATTCGACGCGTCCGATCTCGCCGGAACTGCCGCGCACATCAGAAGCGAAACGACGAGGATCCAACACCCACCTTTCGCCATTTCTCTTCTCCGACCGAAACAAGGTAGAGATCGAATACAAATTGACAATAGAGTAGAGTAGAGAGCAGAACCACTAATGTAATGATGGAAAATGGAGGATGGAAGCTCCTCACCGAACAGCGCAGATCTGAGATCTCGATCCAATTCAATTCAGTCGATGAATTTTGAAGGAAACGTTTATTAGGGCATGCCACGCGCTGTGCAAGCGCGTCGCGACAAACGTGGCCCGTATAATACATTTTGGCTTGGATCGTGTAAATAACAATGTGGGCCTATCCCGTTTACAGTAAACCGGGCTAGCCCTCTAACTCGCCCCACTCCATTCCGGGTCGGGTCGGTTGAAACTCCGCCCCACTCCACTCCTAGGGGTAAAAATAGGCTTTTTTTTTTTTTTTCTTTTTAATTTAAATTTTAATCGTACAATATTTTATTAAATATTATTTTCATATTAAATTCAAATCAAAATTTTCAAATTCTTACCAAAAAAAACATAGCAATTATATCCTTAAAAACTCGTAAGTCTTGGGGTATATTTTTTTTTATGAATTTAAGAAAAAATTATTTAAATTTAATGTTAAAATAATGTATAATTGAAATTTTTATAAGATATTTTCAAAAAATAAAATGTCAAAATAATAAAAACCTGATTTCAGATGACAAAAGAAAAAAAACTCCCAATTTTCATGGATAACAATTATATAATAATTTAGAAAAAGAAAAAACACGAAAATGCAAAGCCAAACAAACAAGCTCGTCATATTAGTTTGCATAGTAAATCAACACAAACTTTCACATCATCATATCACACACACAAGAACGACGTCCTTATTTTCCACGAAACTCATATCTCCGACGAACTAATTTCAATAATTAATTTTAATTTAGCAGACTCCATTGGTCTTCTTCCCGTCGGCCACCATCTTCCTCCAAGCAGTAGTGATCTCCCTCTGCACTTCCATGGCCGTCTTCTTCACCACCGCCGGCGGCCGGTCCTCCACCGGAGTCGCCCCCGTCAGCTTCTCCGTCACTCTCGCCGGGATCGAGTCGAGCTCCTGCAGGACCTTCTCGATGTCCAGCACCAGCCGCTCCGCCAGAGTCCTCGAGAAATCCTCGCGGATGACCACGCGGAGGACCGTCACATGCTGCGCATCGGGCGGCATCGTGTACGCCGGCACGATCCACCCGAACCGCCGGAGCATCTCCGAGATCTCGAACTCGTTGTGGCGGCTGCTGTCCTTGAGGCTGAAGGCCACCAACGGCACGCCTTGCTCCTTCGATATGATGTTGAACCGCCCCGTTCGCTCCAACCCTTCCTTTAGAATCGTCGCATTTTCTTGGCAGTTCTCCATGATGTTACGGTATCCCTAAATCCGGAGAAGATAAAAATTAAAAATAGATATTTTGTGGTTGTTACTGTACTGACTAATTTGCATAATGCTAATATACACGGTAGCATATAGAATATAAAAATTTTAGCACAATGTATATATTTATATAATAAAAATATAACACATATAATTTGCACAATATATATTACAATTTATGTAAGTACCTAAAATATAATAATACGATACACATATAAAATATAATAGACAATATATGCTAACAATATATATGAATGTATTGTCTGTTATATTTTTCATAAGCTGATTAGAAATAATCAATACATTAGTACTTTAGCTCAAACCAGTACTTTAACTATTCTTATAAAATTTATATATGCATCTAAAGGTACATTTCTATTTGCGTAAACATGAATTCAAAATTTCAAACTTAGACTCTGTTTAGTAATCGTTTTGAAATTGTTTACTGTTCATCCAAATTTTACTGGGATTTGATTAAAATATTATATTCAATATTTATATCACATTAAAAAATAATTGATTTTTTACTATTTCAAAACCAATTCAATATTCCAAAACATTTCTAAAATATATCTAAGCAAACAATTATTGCTTAAATCGAGCATACAAATCATACTATTTGTCATATCTTTTTGCAATTTTTCTTTACTTACCAATAATTTGTACTCATTTACTCTTTTCCATGTAACTTTTTATTTTTCCTAATCTATAAAACATTCGAAACGAAAACATATGATAACAAAATGAGCTAAAAGAATTTGAGACGGAAGGTGTATATTATATATTGCAGTTGTATTAAGCAGTACCTCGGCACCTAAGCGAATGAGCTGATAGTATTGGGCGATCACTTGGCTCGAGCCTACAAGACAGATGAAACAAACGAGACGAAAAATAAGGGAATCGAACTTGTGGCTTAGACAACGCATTTTCATACCTTTGGAGAAGTTGAGGGTAAATGTGGGTTGATCGGCGCCGAGGTAGTTAATGTGAAAAACAAGTTCCTCCGGCAAGTCCTCTTTGCTCCGCCAAATGACCCATCCGATACCTGCGTATACGAGCCCGTACTTATGCCCACTCACGTTGATGCTCTTCACTAAAGGCAACCTAAAATCCCATTCTAAGTCCGGGTATAAAAATGGCGCAATGAATCCACCGCTCGCAGCATCCACATGGATTGGCGTATCCCATCTAATCAAAACATAGTTAGTATACAAAATATATACATTTCTGGCAAATTTGTTCATAACCAACCTGTTCTTTGAAAATTCTATACAATTCTCCATTATGATGTAAAATTTACACAAGATTTTCTCGTAAAATACGAGTATGTCTCGGACAGTTTTTAAATCATATGAAAGAATTGAGTAAATTTTCAAATCATGGATTATAATTTTTTATCTTTGAGAGAGAAAATGTGAAGTTGCAAAGTTTATATGCATACCCGGTTTGTTTGTTCTTCTCGGACAAAAGATTGTTTAGCAGCTTGACATCTTCGAATTCCCCATTGAGAGTGGAGCCAAGGATCGCGGCGACGCAAATGGTGTTCTCGTCGACCAATTCAACGGCTTTTTCGGGGTCCATGACATAGTATCCATCTCGGAGTTTGACTTCCTTGAGCTCGACCTCAAAGTAGCGCGCGAATTTCTCCCAACACACTTGAACGTTGGCGCCAGTAACGATGTTCGGCTTGTCGCAAGGCTTGCCGAGCGCTCTCATCTTGTGCTGCCATTTTCTCTTGAACGCCAATCCGGCGAGCATTATGGCTTCGGACGAGCCAACGGTTCCGACCCCGACGGCAGCTTCGCCGTCGCCGAGCGGGGCATTGAACAGATTTGCTATGATGTTTACACAACGGTTCTATTTACAAAAAACACATATGATTCATCAAAGAAGTGTGTTCTATACACATTCTGTGATTAATTCTGAAAACCATAAATCCAATCTAATTTCTTGTTAGAACTATACTATATATTTTCTTTTACGACCAGTTGGATATGCAAGAATATATATATTTACTATTTTACTACTAAATTCCAGGTATTAGATAGGGGATTTTGAAAAATTTTGAAATTTGAAAAAAAATAAATTCATATTTGATATTTTTTTAAGAAATGAATAATATCAAAGGAGTCCAAGTTTGTAACGTAAATAAAACCTACAATTTAAGAAAATTTGGCAAAAGAAATGCACTCTAAGAAATCATCTTGGTACTGCTACTGTTGCCCTCTACTACTATACTATACTAAGCATGGAACTAATTGCTCCTACCCACGGCCATGAATCTTTACCAAAAGTTTTCAAAACTGTAAGAAAGAAAAAATATATAGATAATATAGTTGCTTAGCAGGTAGGTAGGTTGCAGGGCAGCAATAAAGTGAAAATATAAAATAATACTCCCTCATTGGCAGTGTCGGCATACAAGTTGGACTATATATATATATATATATGAATGTATATGTATTTGTTCAGTATCGAAAAATATCTTATCATAGCCAAAAAAAAGTAGTGCGCATAAACTATTCACGTCAAAGTGGATAACGTTATTATTGCTATCATGAAATGAAACGCAATGCCCATCCACACAGACAGACGCGGCAATAATTATGTCTGTCTAATTTCATAATAAGTTTTCTCAGAGTCCTGTATAACTATGATAATGTACACAAAATTAAAAATAATAGTTTTAAATTGAAAGAAATTATAATATGAAATAGAAGGTAAATAACTAAATTAGTCTTACTTTATTAAAGGTTGAAAAAATAGATTAAGAAGATAATTATAGTAAGCTCATCTTTTACTATTTAATATAATCAAACCCAAAGTGTCCAACCTATTCAATTCAATCCTATCTCAATTAGTCCATTTACAAGACCATAATAGAAGGTTAAGATTTGTTTGATCTTCCCCATATAAGACAAGAATCTTCACATTCTTCTTGCTCTTTCACTTACACTTCAACACCAACAAGAAGGTCGATCTACAATAGTGGCCCTTAAAGAATTCTAAGGGATGGATGGAATGCATTGATTCAGCGTGTTAATATAATTAAAGAAAATAATTACTTGTAATATTTTCGTTTTGAATTTTAATTTTAAATTATAAAATTTTGAATTAAAATAATAATTTAGTATTAATATAAATAGGTATATTTTAAATATAAAAATTAATTTTAATAAAATATAATCAAACTTTACAAGTAAACACATCCAAATTGAGATGCAGTCATAACCAGTTACATATAATTAATCAGGAAATGAAAAAGGGAATATATTCCACCGTCAAAATTGGGGTTTCACGGAATGATGTGCCACCAATTTTTTATACTAGTAGTTACATCATCAATCGAAAAATTAAACATTATTAACCGACAATTTTTTTATTCATTATTTACGTAGAATATCAAATTATTAAATAGTATACTATATTATATTAAAAATAATAATTTTAACGATAAATTATAGTAATAATTAAATCATAAAAAAAATCATAAAAAAAGCCAAAAAAATATACATACATAGTATGTGTGTTTTTCAAAGCTTGGATTGAATTTGAAAATTTAATTTTTTATTTATTTACATAACATATTGATAATCTCATAACTGCTCCGTAAGCCTAAAGGAAAACAGGTAATGACATTTACATTGAGCAGAGCGAGAAAACGCGTCTACAATAATAGATGCAAGGCAAGGATGTGGTGATATTTCAAACATAGATTATAGTAAGTCGCTGTCTTGTTTTCATCAATCAAAGATCAATTAATGAGATTGTGATTTATATTTATGTTTCTTCCCTTATATTTCACATTTAGGTCCTCTGTGCTTTATATTTTTATTATTTTCAATAAAAAAAGATTTAACTAACAAATTTAATAAAAATATATTATTATTATTTTCGTCAAACACAATATCATTTATGTGAGACATCTGCTTAGAGATGAATAAAATTTTCTAGATTTACGATGCAATATCTCATCATCGAAAAAATAGTGATCGAATTCAAAATTGTTAATCAACTAGTATCATTCTAAAGTGAAAGTGAAGGCAGAATGTTCAAAATTAGATTGAGAGAACATTTTTACCTGTAGCTCAGTAGTGACAGGGTACTCATCCATATCAACATAGTTTTTGTTAATTGCAGCCATAATCAGCTTGTCGCACTCCGGTTCCATCCACGTCGTCACGAACGAGGCCAGATTCAGCCTCGGATTCCCGTCCAGCATCAGCTCATCATTAATGATCTGATACGCTGCTTCCTTCGGAATCGAATTCTCCGGCATCTTAAACCTGTATTCATCCATTCACTTCAGCAATTCGTTCAAAATAATACTTTACGCCACGAAAAAAAAAAAAAAAAACTGAAACACCGGATCGAAAACACGGAAAATTCGATTCCAGCATCTTAAACCTGTATTCATCGATTCATTTCATCAATTCCCTCACGGATCGCTCAAACTTATACTCTACTTGCTCACGAAGAAAAAAAAAAAGGTCTGAAACAGCCGATCAAAAACAAGGAAACTGCTCTGCATCTGAAACAAGTCTAATCAGTCGCACTACATATGAAGTTGAGAATTACCGCGGAAGCGCGTCGCGAACATATCGAGAGGCGAACGTAGAGTGCACGGAGACGTCTTGCTGAGAGGCGGTTTTGGAGAGAACCATCGCTGCTACTGCCGACGGAGAGAAGAAGAGACTGAGGTGAATGAAAATGGTTAACGGAATGCACCGCCGAGTCACACGTATATAAATGAGGTGGGAAAGCGTGTGAAGGGTTGGTTGGTGGGACCCACGCCTTTTGTGATCCATTTTAATTTCCTTATTTTTAAGTAAAGATATTATAATAAAATCTCATGTCACACTGCCTTCTATTTGTTTTGTTTGGATGAGATTTTTTTACTAAATATACATATTTCTATTTATTTATTTTTTCAAATATTTTTATTTTATCATGTTATTTTTATATTAAAATAAATGGTAAAATTATTTTTACATTATTTTTAATTATTCACTATCACTATCAGTGTGTATTTTTGTAATAGTTTGAGTTTTTAAGTGAATCGGTCAATCTGTATCCAACATAGTATCAAAGTCTAAACTAGTTTACATGAGTTTTTGACATATTTTGGTATTAATATATAATTATTTTATTTAAAATAAGAAAAGTACTTTTAAGTTAAACAAACAAAAATTGTAAAAATGTATTTGAATTGGGTATTATATTTTGTTAAAAGATACTACAATTGTTTACTAACAAAAATATATAAATTGCTATAAATTATATTTTTTATATAATATATAAAAATTGGTATAGAAAATATAAAAATAATAAATATATGTAATATTTTAATTTTTTTCGGAGGGATAGTGTGTAGTGTTTTTCCTAAAAAGAGCACACACCCACATTAACTTTGAGTTTGATTGGGATTAGTTATTATTATTTTCTTAAAAATATTAAATGAAAATTTATTTTATATTTTTTTAAATTATAATAAAAATTAATTTAATACATTTAAAATATCTTATCAATACACATTTATATTGTATTAAACAAATATTTAAATTTAAATATTTATTATTCAAAATCGCCCGTCGCTTCTCTTGAATTTTCATAATTCTGCTACGCAAAAAAATCCAAATCTAAATTCCAAACTCCAAACAAATACCACCTTAATCATGATAATCTCATAGTACAAATGAATAATAACTATTAAATACTTCCTCTATCCCACGTATCATGTGCACGTTGCCGTTTATATTCTATATTATTTTTCTTTTTTGAAAATAATTACACACTTTAATCTTATTTGAAACTTTTTAATTAATTTTTTTTAATTTTAATTAAACTAATTAGTTATCTTAATCTTAATTTATAATTATTTATATTATAAAATAATTATTTTCACTAATACATTCTTAATTATCTACTAATTATACCATTTGGAAAATGATTACACACTTTAATCTTATTTTAAACTTTTTAATTAATTTTTTTTAAAAATTTTAATTAAACTAATTAATTATCTTAATCTTAATTTATAATTATTTATATTATAAAAGAATTATTTTCACTAATATATTTTTAATTATCTACTAATTATACTCTTTCTAAAATAGTGTAGCACTGTAAGTAGGTCAGAGGGTAATATAATTATAGATGAAATAATAGGTCAGAGGGTAATATAATTATAGATGAAATAATGTTATATGGAGTACTTTATTATTATTTCAATTTTGTTATGTATAAAATCCACTCATAAATGAAATTGATTATATACAATAAATACTATTGCAACATACGGAGTATTTGTTAGACTTATGTTGGAAATTATTTATTTAAATTTAAATATTATTTTAATAAAATACTTTGTAAAATAAAATAATTTAGTTTATTAATATTTGTAAAAATTGTATAATAAAAAAAACTTATCCAAATAGAAAAAAGAAACATACCATGTATATTAATACAATTGTAATAATTATTATTGTAATGGTTTTTAATATGGCAAAGATATTAACATTTTCAATTAAATGTGGGTGTTGTGTGCTTTGTGAGTCTTTCCAGCTTTCACTGCTTACTAAAAATTTTAAACTAATTGTGTTTATCCAATTATTTGGCAATTAATATTATTTAAAAAATATAATATATATATAGATAATTATACAAAATATATAATTTATACTTTCTTCCCCTTAACAAATTATTATTTTTTTTTATTTTGATTCATTCCCCTTAACAAATTATTTATTTATTTTTATTTTGATTCGTTCCGTATATTGTATTATTACATTTGTACATAAAACACGTTATTTTAATCAATTTCACCTTATTCCTACTACATCACTCCTTCTAACAAGTAAATGAATACAAGGGAGAGAAAAAAAAAAAATTATGTACTCATACATTAATATCGTAATATTCTTTATTTTTTATTAAAAATATAATAAAAAATTAATTAATGCATAAACTGGCCTTTGTATCAAGTGTTCTAAACATTTGTGGAATGCCAACACTCCATATTCAAAATAAAATTAATAAATGAAAAGAAGAAGAAAAAAAAAACTTCAAAAAAGAGTTGCATCATTCAAATTGCTTGGCAATTGATGTGTAGTGTTCATATCCACAGGCTAAACTAGACTAAAGCCACTCCCCATTAAGAAAAAATTGTGGAAATAAAAACATTGATATCTCTTCAGATACTAACCTGAGCCTAGGTGCCATCCTCATCCACCATGCTCTTCTACTTCCAAGCTTAAATTTACAAGTACAAAACAATGATGTTAGGACCATAGAATCGACCAAGAAAAACTTTCAAGCAATACAAACTAATATACAGAAAAGATTGAAATTATATATAGTAATAAAAAAGGATAAAACAAAGTTTATTTGCTTCTGAAAATGAACTTTCAAGTGAAATGAATAGTGAAGATAGTGTTTTTCTATTCGATCCAGATTAGTGATGTTTTTCGAGAGAAATAATATATATATTTTTTTCGAAAAGTATAGCACATGAATGTCTGAAGAGATCAACTGAGAAAAATGTAAATGTTGTTCACACATAAAAGATCGCTTACGTTGAAATGCTTTGAAGAGCCACTGGGAAAAACAGCATATAAAGAATTGCATGCATCGAGAAACAGCTTTGCTGATCGAGTAAGTGGCTCAGGCAGTTGTGCTCATTTCAGCAGAAATATCCTGGGGAGAAACACGGATGAGCGCTAGTATATATCGACAATTTTATAAGCATGTATCTAATCGCAACAATGGCTGGTATTATATTTCCGTGCATTAAACATCTATTGTCACACACACAAGTACCATATTCACCTTTAGTTTAGCAGCAGAAATTTAAAAAAATTGGATTGAAACTAAATAAATGATACGAGACTGTAGCACCTTAGGATCAGTTGCGTCTGCTGTTATACAGTGAGCCAGAACCTGAGCTTGAGACGGTGGCTTCAGAATGGGAAGAGGCAGCGGGGGTGAGAGGCTGGAAGTTTGTGTTCCCGACAAACCAGTAGAGTATCCATTTCAGATTACAGAGAGTGTACTTGAGAGCTTTGGTCCAATTCTCTGGTTTATTGAAGCTCTGTGTGATTGAGTAATTTTCGACTTTGTCATTCTCTATTCTGCAAATGCCAACAAGAACTATCAAGGTTTTGATATATACAACATCCATGATGCACAATTGGGATGAAACAAAATCACCGAATCGAAACATAAAGCAACTAAAAAGAAATGTAAATATGAGTATAGAACTCAAATCTCCTCATAGAAGAGAATACAATCGTCTTAAGATAGATAAAACACATCATCAACATAATTGTTAATCATTAATTATTACTATTATATAGTCAATCAACACAGCCCATCAACACAGCCCCTTGACAAATGGGACGGGGGGGGGGCAGTGTGACACAATCATGGGATGTCCCGGCTCTGATTTCATATCAGATTACCATCTCATCTAAAAGTTTAAACTTAAAAGAAGCATGTATCATTAATTATTATATAGTCAACCAACAGTTCTTCATTGTGTTTTATGAAATTAAGCCAAAATGTAATATATGAAGAACCACTTTTGAAGACTGATAACACAATCAAATAGCATCCAGGACAGATTATGCAAGTCATTCAACATACTTGTATGGAAGTTTGAAGCAGTCATCGGGAGGAAGGTTCTTTTCTTTGTCCTTCAAGTTTGCAAACTCTGCAAACTCCTTGAGGCAGGTCAAATATAATGTCATAGCTTTATCATAGCGAGTGCTCCAAAATATGTTGGCAGGGCCAAACCTGATACATACGCAGGATATATTAACTTGCAAGTAATATATAATTGAACCAATTAGAACGTACAACTAAGGGGAGCTGGATCAAAATAGGAAAATAAAAACAAACACATGATGTTGGTAGAGTGATACATGTAGACAGCGAAAACTGAATCTTCTGCACATGAAGATGTAGAAATGATCTAATAATGCCAATTCATTCATTCATTCAATATCAAAAGAGCCTTAAAGGTCATCGCATCTTTCCATTAAATTTTGAAAGTATGTAACATTGCCAATTACTGCCGAATCCTGATGAGCAGCGCAGTATTTATGAAAATTAACAGCAGATGAGCAGCACAGTCTACCATAACTTACAGCTCATAGGTAATGTTGTCGCTATCCATTATACGAGGGTAGCTCCCCATGGGAAGAATTTTAATGCGATATCTGAAGCTAAAGTTAAGGTGTAGAAGTTTAAAAGGATAGGTAAACATTGTAGATATAATTTTATTCAGATCAGGACTTCTGAACAATGAAGACAAACATGCCAAAAGAGAAAAACACCAGAGCAAATCGAGCCACACCATGGAAGAGTATCATACAAATCATAGATAATACCTACAAAGAGAGATTAAAGATAGCTTATAAAACATTCAAGTAACAAAAGGATACGAGAACTTTGGCCGGAAATGGTATTGAGCCATTGTATGGAGGAGGAGGCAAGCTTGGCCCCAGGCTGCATTTATTTCATCCCACTCAACCTGCACAGTCCGATAAAGGGCAATGGGAAATCTTCTTCAAAGATAAGAATGCCAAAGCAGTCAATATATACCTGAACTTTAGGAAGTCTTCCAAGACGAAAGCTGTTGATAGTTCCAAACTCTCCATCATGCCGAATAGGAAAAGCATCAGACAGCACATTAGTTTTCTCCAACAACTCTATTTGAGCTTTTGAGACTTCAATCTTGGCTAGAATTGCATCCCCTTCTTCCTATTGACCACATATTTCTAGTTTAATAATGCTATAGTATGTCTTGCTAAGAACAACTACAATCATGAGTAATATAATATTCCTAAAGGAGCTTGTTGGCCATGGCTTAGAATAATCAAAATGAAAAAGAAGTTTAGCCATAACAAACCTGAAACAAGCTCAACTGAAACTTGTAATTATTGAAATCCTGCCAATAACTGGGGAAGACAGTACTAGGAATTAGATCAAAAACAAGAATGATTTGTGAACTGAACCAGATGTTAAGGAACAACTAAAAGTAGGAATTACATATTAGATCAAAGACAATACTAGGAGTTAGATTAAAGACAATACTAGGAATTGCATAATGCCAATCAGGAACGCTAAAATACACTATTCAAACTTTATATAAAGAAAGTTACCGTTGTTCTGAATCTTCAAAACGACTAGATTCTAACTCTAGTTCCTTAAATTTTTCAGTTACTTCTGAAGATTGTTGTTCTGTTTCTGCAATTGATGCTTCAAGTTTCTGCACTTCTTCTTCTATCTTACAAGGCAACCAAATAAAATTAGCAATCTTTGGATTTCAGGACAATTATTGTTCACAATAAAATCAAAGAGGGAAACTGCAATGCAATTATAAATGTTTGCAAAAGCACCCGACATATAAATGTTTGCACAAAATTGTAAAATAAGCACCTTCAATTTTTCCTTAAGAAACTCTGCTTCACTCAGTACATTTTTTGGTTCCCCTTCAAAGCGTTTAAGGCAAACTTCATATGCTTCTATGTCCCTATTCACATCTCCAATTTCCTTATCAAGTTCATTAGACAAAACTCGTATGCACTCAAGACATAAAGGATGCTCAACCTGTAGAAAGCATTGAAAGTAAAAAGAAATTGTCAAATGATCGTCTTGCAAGGCCACACTCAAAAGGATGAGTCACAGTGTTGTATTGAAAAATCCATTGAATAAAATACCTCAGTTTGAGTAGTAGCAATATTGAATGCACGATTTAGGACTCCTATAGCAGAGTGAAAGTCCGAGTTGTGTGGTTGAGCGGGAATGTCGCTAGGCCCGCTCTCAGGTGATGGATGATTGCACCCACTGTAAGCAACTCTAGGTTCACTTTTATATACCGAAGCAGCCGGTGGAGGTAATACAATAAAAGACTCGTCCATCGGCTTTCCCGATTGACAAGCCTCAGATTGCATAGCTACACCTCGAGGCTGTTGAGAAGCTCCCAGTTTATGGTTCCTTTGTTTTGGTAACACAACAAATGAATTGTCCATCCGTGTTGATCCAACTACACTAGCAGTTCCATTGATTGAAGAACCTTGCATCCCTGCACAAATATCCTAAGATTTATGAAACAAAATTACAGTAGTCATATAAAACAATGATTCTAGAGAGCTGAAGCTTCCACATTCACATGTTCTACATCTATGGGGCAATATTTAAAGGTGAGCACAAGATATGTAAGTATGGATTTTTTTCTAATAGAAGAATTGTCGATTTCGGATAGCTTCACATAACGGTCAATCTCTAAAATCTTATAACTGGATAAGGGATAGCTGAAACCACTATTTAAAGATTTACATATAACAATTATTATACATACAAATTTACAATAAAAATCCATAAGAACGCTATAGATTAATCTCATGATTACTAATTTTGAAAACATAAAAAAAAAAAAAATCAATCTTTAATTTTATGCTGTTTTGTCATTATAATAAACTATACACTTTTTAAAAGGCCTAAAACCGGCATCGCAGAACGGCGATGGCAGCGAACTGCCAATGGATTATTGACAACTATGCCTACAAGAATGAAACAAATTAGCATACGCAGTTAATGGATTAAAGTAGATACATTCTCTCTCTAATTCAAACTCATGCAAAATCTTGAAGATATATATATATATATATTATATATATCACTCAAGATTTCAATAATGTAGCCCCAAAAAAATCACGTAACAAATGGAAAAGGAAGAGTGCTGTCGTTCTGTACACAAGTTTCTGCTTCCCCTTCAAGAAGAATTAGGGTAATGCAAGATTCATCATCTTAATTCAAAAAAAGGAAAAGAAAACTCAATTGATTCTAGAACCCTCACCCGAGGCGAGAAATCTATCGGCGTGAGGATCAACTCCGGAAACGGAAACGGCTTTGCGACAATTCTGGCAGAGGAAACGCGGCAGATTAGGGTCGGACGGCATCGTTTATTAAAAGGCAATCGGAAGTTGGCACCGTTCACTGTTGGACCAGAAAGGTAAAGCCAGTGGAGAGGAAGACGAAGACAGCGGCACTGTGGATTATCGAAGCCAATAGACAAGAACTCCGACGGCTAAGATGGCGGAAGACGACGGTGATCAAGCCGGAGACGACTGACGCACGTTGTGTTTGTTAAAGGGTTTAGCATATCTACTATTTTACTATTTCAAAATTGTTTGTTTGGATTATTTACAAAAATAAAAATCTCTTATTAAATACTCCCTCCGTCCACAAATAAAATATACATTTACATTTTGCACGAAGTTTAAAAAATAATAGTATTTTAATTATAATGGGCAGATAAAAGTAGTGAAATGATATTTATACCTTAATTTTCGGTATAAAAGTAACGATGTGATGTAAAATAAGAATATTTGTGAATAAAAGTGGAATATTTAATAAAATAGTTGTAATTGGATGTTCAAAAATAAAAATACGTAGTAGCTGGACGGAATATATACTACTCCTCCCATAGTAAATATGAGTTTGCTTTTGCAGGGAATAAATAAAAATGACTAAAATAAGTAAAAATGATTAAAATAATTTTATTCTTATTGAACGATAATATATTATAAGTTAAGTAGATAGTATAATTATAAAAAAGAAAATTGATATGTGGAATAGAATAAAATGAATAATTTGTTAATGAAGGAAAGAAATATTACTTTAATAACTGTTTGTTTGTTTCCAAAAATTTGAAGATTTTTGTTTTTGTGTTTTTGTGTGTTTTTTTTTTTTTTTTTTTTTCTAATTTAAAAACATCAAATAAAATTTCAATTGTCTATTTTATTTTTATATAATAATTGTTAATATCATATCAAAATATAAATATGTAAAGTTTGAATCTTACATTTGATTGCCAGTTTAATTTTTAAATTAGAAATTACGTTAAAAATAGTTTATTTAATTTATAAACATTAGTAATTTAATAAAATATAATATATATTTTTTTAAAAATTTAAAATATTGTTTATTAATTGTTATTTTATAATGAAAATAAGATTAATTTGTTGGACGACTAATATAGACGGAAAACAAGATGTTGTATAATTTTTATTGAGCTTTGTCTTATGAGTTGGCCCAAATTTGAAAGAAAGCCCACGGTGGCTTTAGTTACTATTTGGGATGGAATTTAAACTTTGATTTTATTTTATTTTTTATTTCTTTTTTTAAATGATAAGATATCGTTTGATCATGAACAAAAAAATAAAGAAAAATCAACAAAAATTACATAACTTAATTTATTTATGTTAAAATAGAAGGAATATATGCCATAAAAAAATAAAATAAAAATAGAAGAAATATATAAAATTATACTCCCTTCGTCCCAGATACCATGTCCACGTTGTCGTTTCTGTCCGTCCCACATACCATGTCACTTTCTTTTTGTGGAAAATAATTTCACACTTTAATCTCATTTTAAATTTTTAATTTTTTTTTAAATTTTAATTAAACTAATTAGTTATTTTAATATTTAATTTATAATTATTTATATTATAGGATAATTCTTTTCACTAATACATTCTTAATTATTTACTAATTACATCCCTCTAAAATACCGTGTCTACGACGTAGCAGACATGATATATAGGACGAAGGAAGTATATACTTTTTTTTCTTCTTAAAAGCGCGACATCAAACATCAAAGTCCATTTACAATATATGTCCACTCATTTGTTAATATTATATTATACAATTTTTCAATGTCCTTGCAAAATATAACATCAACGTATATTTTATATATATATATATATTATTTTTATCCTATTTAAATACTCTTATTTTTCATTCAAAATTGTTATGGGCTATTTATTATTTATAGTTTATGTGATCCATCCTCCTTCAATTATTAATTTTTAAACTTTTACTTCTATCTATCGAAATATCATCTCACATTTTATTTTACTAATAAATTTATAACTATCACGTTATATATGGTACGAAAATAGTATATCGTATTAAATATCTATTATTTATATTATAAACACGACCAAAATATCTAACATGCGACAAGTTGTCCAAGATTGTGGCATGCAGAGTTTGATGTGATGGTCTTAGTGCTAACTAAGTAATGAAATAAGAAAGTAAATTATATTTTATATAATTGAATTAATTGCATGATATGTACTTCCTAAAGCTTCAACAAAGTGTCCCAACTTCAAGACATTTCATCCCCAAAAACTAGACACGACAAATATCTTTGTCCGCTTTTATTTATCAATATTTTATATTAGTTTGGTCTCGCTTTATAAGTCATATTTATTTTTTTTGTGTTAATATTTGAATATTAATTATTGTATGAAAATGTAGTACAAATCGAAGAAAAATGACAAAAATACTTTTATTAGTGTCTTATAATACTATTATAATGACATTTGTGCAAAAAATTATATAAATATAAAAATATTTTTAATGTTAAGTACAATAATGCAAAAAAATAAATGAGACTCTTAGAGTCGGACCAGTATATAAAAAGACAAAACAATGTAGTAATTTTTTTTTCTTATTTATGAAAATGGCATGAAATAGTTTATTGTTTAAAAACTGTGCTGAATTCTTTTATAACTTCAGAAATTTTGCATTTAATCCTATTTTTGTTATTAATTTACGGTGATTTTACAGTTGCGAAGTTTTTGAAATTACTTTATGAAATTAGCTTCAGAAAGTTTGCATTCTTTTTAATTTTTTTAAGAAAATAATCGTTAAATATAATGTTTTTAATTAGTTGAAAAATAATGGATTGAATAATAATAATAATAATAATAATAATAGTACACCCTAACATTTTATTTTATAAGACAATTTTAAATCTATATGCATGGTTCAATAAAATTTAATTTCATATTAACAACACAAAATTTGAATTTAATCGCCTTTTATATAATAAATGAAATTACAACCTTACCCTTTGATTTATATAATCATTGTATATAAAAATAACTCACCATCAACTCATAAGATTCGTTCAACACATACAAATATTATATGGCCTATTAAAAATTATTCCTTTCCCTATTTTAAAATTAAAATTACATATTCAAATACCAATATACTGTGAAAATAATTATTACTTGCATCTTATTGATGTATTTTAAAATTTATGAAATGCTTTTATTATTGAAATTGTCTTTTACAAATTAATATTTAATTATTATTTTTTTATTACTAATTTTATTAAATTCAATAAACTAATATTTAACTATTATTTTTCATTTAATTCTTATTTATAATAAATATCACTATTTTTATTATTTTCTTTCTTTTCATTTTATTTAATTTTTAACTATATTTTTAAAAATATTTCAACTATCATTTTACTTTTTTTATTTTTCAATAAAATATTTATTTTTTTCAAATTTTGTGTCGGACCTAAATATTCTAAATCTACAAGATGGAGGAAGTAGTAGAATGCGATGATTTGCGTGAATAAATAATACTTCATATTTTATTAAAATCGAAAAAAAAAAAAATCTAAACCAAATAAATTAAATTTTAAAAAAAAGAATAAATTTTATAAAAAGCCTAAAAAACGACAAGCTGAGGCACGAAAAGAAAGGCAGAACTGGAACCTCTAAAAAACGCAACTTAAGTACAAACACAAACCTTAAACTTTATTTATTTCTATAAATATAATAGTAAAAAATTTTGAATTTGAATAATTGTATGATATGATATAAATAGGTGTTGATGTGATGTTTTGAATATAAAATTGATTTTTAGTATAATATAAAAAATAAAAAATAGGTATTTAATTTGATGTTTTTTGGAGAAAAAAAAGGGATGAACAATGAAAATCTAATCCAATCCCCCGAACAAACACACCCTAAATAAACACATCCAAATTCAGGTTGGGTTTGTTTTTTGGGGTTTTATACTAGCTCCAACTTTTCATTATATTAAATTAATTAATTTATTTTTTATATTATATTAGAACTTAAATTATTTTTAAATATTACATTAACACTTATTTATATCACAAAAAATTTAAACTACAATGAAAATTATGCTTGATACTATTTCTAATAATAATAACAAAAGATGGAAAATACCTATTGTATTTATTTATTTATTTATTTTTATGATGTTAGAAGTCTTTATTATTTTGATTATGTCCTAAGCTATATAAAAAATATTATATTCAATATTTACGTTTTTATACAAAATATAACATCTAATAATCATTTAACCTCAAAAAAATAAATAACATTAAAAAATATAATATATGAAAAAAAAACATAAATAAAAGCAAGGGTTCTAAATTAAAGTCCATAGCCCCTAATGCATAGCAAATATTCCCCTCATCTCACTAGCAAAAGAATGTATATTATTTCTCACACTATTTATTTATTATATCAATTTATATGATATCTCAAATTTATTAATATAAACAGATCCCCATCTATTATTGAAAGCATAAATTCAACAATATTGGAGTTAAGAACAATTGTCACGTAGATAAGATATTTAATTATAGAAATGACATATCAAACATATGTTTTAAATTAAAAATATCACATCAAATAATAAAAAAAAAAATTAAAATTGTTAACTAATATATAAAGATAGAACTATAAATTTATTTTATTTTATTTTTTAAAAAATAACTCACCCTTGTATGTAGTGTAAGATGTGTAACAAAAAATGTTACACAAAAGGTAATAATGTTTTTATTTTTATTTTTATTTTTATTTTTAATATAACGACAGTAGTTTTTTATATAGTTAAAATAAAAATCTGACTTATCAAAAAATATTAATATTAATTACATTCAACACATTTTTATTCAAATTTTTACTATTAAAAAAACATAAATTAAATAATAACGAAATATTTACAAGACAAAATTAAACAAACCCTTGATTTTACAATTCTAACTATGATAAATGGTCCATAAATCCCTTTGATAAATGATTTGGAAGTATTTCCAAAAACCAAGAAGATAAAAATAAAAATGAAAAATACCACCAAGGAGATTGAAGACAAAATCGAACAAAGCCTATAATATCAACATACACCCACTTTTCATGGTTATATGTAGCAAAAGTTGTCCAAACCTTATCTCAACTTCTCATCATACACACACACACATATATATATATATATATATTTTCTTCCATAGCCAAAACACACATTCCAAGCTCCAAACACCGTGGGAGAGATGGATTGTTCAACTACTCCAACAATTAGCATAAGTCCCACATCGAATCTCAAGCCTTCCGATATCGAAAACCACCCGAAAATCGTCGTCGACGACGCGTCGCTCCTCGAGCCAAAAACAAGCCTCCCGGCGCAATTCCGATGGCCTCATGAGAACTTAGTCGACATTGCGCAAGAAGAATTCGACGAACAACCAGTGGACTTAAAGGGCATCTTCGAAGGAGACACGGGAGAAATCCGTTACGCGGCTCAACAAATTAACGTCGCGTGTTCGAACCACGGTGTCTTCCAAGTCATCAATCATGGGATCGACGACGACGTGATTCAATCCATGTATCGACATATGGACGCGTTCTTCAACCTCCCTTTGGACCGTAAGATGGCCACGAAAAGTGAGACGGGCGTGCGATGTGGATATTCTCGCGCCCACGCTGATAGATTTTCTTCGAAGCTCCCATGGAAGGAGACATTCTCTTTTATCTATAACCACGAAGATTTCTTGGGGCGTGATGTTGTCGACTACATCAAGTCTTCCCTTGGCGAAGAATTCGAAGAAGCCGGGTAATGTATATTACATATACATATATACAAAAACGAGAATTTAAGAAAACACAAAGGTTGTGTTCTTTTTGTGAATTTTATCATAGAATTTTACTATTCAGATTCTTTTTTCTCTCCAAAAATATCATATGCAATAATTATTTTTATTTTTTTATATTATACTAAAAATTTATTTTATATTCAAAACATCACATCAATCTTTATTTATATCATATCAAACAACTATTCAAATTCATCTTTTTACTATTCAAAAATCAAAATAAAAAAACTAAAATCCACGGACAAACACACCCAGGGTCTGTCTCTTTGGATTTGGATTGAAAAGATTTAGTTTGATGGGATTGTAAGAAAAAAATGAAAATCTTATACTCCCTCCATCTAAAAAATATAGTCTTGTTGTGTTTGACACAAGATTTAAGAAATATTGATATTATATTGGTAGTTGGTAAAGAGTAAAGAAAAATGACTTTTTTTGCGCTTGTGAGTATAATAGTGTGAAAAGTAGTGACAATTGTATAATAATAATAAAAAAATAGGGATAGTTTTATGGTGATATGATTATTTATGGAAATGAGACTATTGTTTTGAGACGGATAAAAATGGTAAACAAGACTATTGTATTGAGACGGAAGGAATATTAAAGAAACGCATCCAAAATCTTTCTTTAGTGGCATAATTGACCATCTTCTTTAATCTATTTTTTTTTTAGTTTAATATCAATTTTGATGTTTTCTTCTGATGTATGGTCAATATCGACTGATTAAATTATATGATCTGAGTGATCGATTTTAGGGTTGCTTATAAAAAATATTGCAAAGAAATGAAAGCATTAGCTATGGTCATCTTCGAGCTCTTGGCTATAAGCTTGGGCGTCGATAGGCTACACTTCAAGAATTTTTTCGAAGATGGTTGCTCCCTAATGAGAGGAAACAATTACCCGCCGTGCCAAGAAGCCGGGCTTACATTTGGGACGGGGCCTCATTTTGATCCAAACGCATTGACAATTCTCCATCAAGATCAAGTTGGGGGGCTCGAGATCTTTTCGGACAACAAATGGCGCGCCATTCGACCTCGCCCCGATGCCTTTGTTGTCAACATTGGGGACACTTTCATGGTACATTTGCCCTAATTTTACTCTTCAATAGTAGTTAAGATTTTCAATATCGAATACTATCTTTATCACACGATGAATGTTAAAACATGAGATGATATATTTATATCTATATCTATATTCTAGTTATTGTAATAAGTAGGTGATTTGTGTGTTAGAAGTTGTTCATAGATATGGATATGACTAAACTACGTTGTCTTTGTTCAAGAAAAAGAAACAAAAGAAGAGACAAATAATAGGTATCATTTAGTTCGTATAAGTTCTAAAGCATAAATAAAAATGGCCAAGACATAAATTTTTGAAAAGGACTAATCAAGCATAAATATATGTAATGTAGCGTATAGGTCCTTTCCTCTTGCCCACTTTACGCTCCGTCGTTTTTAAGTGTAATTTTTGTAAAATTTTAAAAATATAAAAAAATAAATATTTGATGTAATATTTATAAATATATACATTTTCTAAAATGTCACGATAAATGAATAGTGACAAAAGATATATTTAGATATTATAAAGAGGTGGACTCTATATTTTAGTCTATTTTATGATCTTATTAATTTATATAGAATTTTTTTTTTTTTTAATTTTTAAGATATTAAATTGATGCATTAATATATATTTGCTATGTAAATAACTAAAAATGATAATAAGTTCATTTTAAAGTATTAAATAGTAGGAATAGTTTCCAAACTTATACATATATATATATATATATATATATATAATAGGGGATCAAATCTTATTCCAATCCAATAAAAGATACTATCAATAAAAAGGCACTATAAAATCATAGTCAAAATCGATTTTGTTATTAAGAAAATAAAATGATTTTGTTATAATAAAATGATTTTTTTTTTTTTTTTACTGTTTTTCTATTAAAGGTAAAATATAACCATCATTACCCATTTCTATTAAAATTTATATCTAACTATTTCAGCCTAAATTTGAATTACTACAATTTTTTTTTTATTTACTAGTAATAATTATTTATTTTTTTGTGAAAATACGTACCTAACCATTATACATTTTAATGAAGGAGATTTTTAAATATATATATATATTTATTTTTTCTTTCAAAAAATATTGTGAGTGCAAATAATGAAAACGAAACACAGCCAATAATAGGTCAAGAATTAGAGGAGTGTAGAAATGAAATTGTGGGCTCTTACCCAAAATAGCATTGGGAATACGTCATCCCCGACGTATGTTTTCTTGTTTGTTTTGTTCCGACATGAATTTGTATGTATAATGTATGCATGTATGCATGTCTGTAGGCACTGTGCAATGGCAAATACAAGAGCTGCATGCACAGGGCATTGGTGAACAAAGAGAGGGCTCGCAGATCTCTCGTGTTTTTTGTGAACCCTAAAGAGGACAAAGTTGTGAGTCCCCCACAGGATCTGCTGCAGCTCGACGACGACATTAATTATAATCATAATAATGGCGACACTGAGACACCACGACGACGACGACGACAATATCCTGATTTTACGTGGTCGGAATTCAGGCACTTCACACTTTATCACTACCGGGCAGACACCGCTACTCTCCCCAACTTTTTCCAATTTCGATCTTCGAATTCTCTGCAAATTAACACGCCCGTGTCGTCGTCTGCTTCAGATTCCGATTCAAATTCAAATTCAAATTCAAATTCACCCATTTAGACAAATTATTAATTCGTGAATTCTATTTCTATATATGTGTATGTATATATGTTCTGTTTCTTGGATGCTTGCTTGCTTTATCTACACCATGGGCTTTCCTTGTCCTTATGCTTGATATATATATATATATATATATGCATGCATATGCATATGTCTAAATGTATATATTGTCTGTATTTGTGTGTGCCTTTGGTTTGGATTGATTTGGTTTTGTATACAATTGTTTGACTGTGCCTTGAAATTGATTTCAAATTGAATTTTTGTTTAAATTATATTTTAATATATTTGATGTTTTGTATATAAAAAAATTATATATGCATATATATATATATATTTTATTAGAACTGTATAGATGAATAATGTTATTTGAATTTGAAAGGATAGAAAAACAAAATATAAAATTATTGGATTGATTTGATTAATATTACTACGATTTATATATATATATATATATATATATAAAGGCTAGAAAATAATGATATTTTATAGTATATCAAAATTATTTTGCATAAATGAAAACAAAATGAGGGATAAAACTAATATATATAGAAAGTATAAGTCATGAAAACACTTATTGATTATTCATCTGAATATCTAATGCTCATCATTTATATATATACATATTTTTGTTCTTAAAGTTTGACACTATTTGTTAATAATAAATTTTAAAATATTACATTTTTCTTTTTAAAGAGCAGTTTTATGATTGGTAAGTGATGACATATCAATTATAATTGATGAGATCCTTTGTTCCAAAAATAAAAAATAAACTCTATTCCTCTGTATCCACACATTGAATATATAAACACATTATGCATGTAGGGATAGAAAATATGATGTGTAAATGGGATAGATGATCGATTTGCAATTATAATATTTTATCATTTCCAATATAATAGTTTTATTTATCATTTTTGTCTGTCCTAAAACAATAGTCTCATTTTCATAAATAATCATATCCTTGTAAAACTACCCTTACTCTTTCACTATTATAATTACACAATTGTTACTACTTTTTACATTAATATACTCACAAGGGCAAACAAAAATTTTCACCCGTACTTTTTACTCACTACTCATATAATGTCAATATTTCTTAAATCCCGTGCTAAATACAACCAGACTATAGTTCTGGATCGGATGGAGTAGATTAATACAAAAAGTATGATAAATGATATAGAAATATATATATGTTTATTTCAATAATTAATTTTCTTCTCAAAATATATAAAATATAATTGCGAATATAAATGAACACAACCAACATTTTAGTATAAGTATCAAGTATGATAAAATAATAATAATAGTAATACGGACATGAATGCAGTGTCATGAATCCTTAAAATGTGTGTTTTTTTTTAACGCTGTTCTTTTAATTTCTACATAATTTTCTACTATTTAAACTCTTTTTTTTTTTTTTAAATATATATTTTTATAAATATCATATTAAATAAAAATTTTTAATTTTTAAATCAATTTCAACCCCAAAAAAACACAGCAGCATGCATATCACATCTATGCATGTATCTATCTATCTATCTATTCTTGCACTTTTGACACAAAATATTCCGTACGATTCTGATGTTCGACTCACAGATTTTGCAGCTTTACAATTACAGCTTGCATTCTTTGTAATGGAATCTAAAGCTGCAAATTTTGGTACATCAATTAATAATTAGGGATTTTTTTTGGCACATTTGTTGAACAATTGATGATAAATTAATTAATATTGACTGTTAAATATATAAATGTCTATTTTATGTATGATTCAACATAATTTATATATTTCAACTTTTTTTTTTTTAGGGCACATGAAGAGCATACCAAACATTAATTTTTGTGGCCAACAGATACTACCCAAAACTACATATATGCAACAATATACACATAATTATGAACTAAAATAAAACATATGACAAATACAAGAGACCAAATATCAAATAAAATAGAAAACACAAACAAACCCTAGTATTCATCTTTTCTTGATAGTTACATTATATTATATTGGCCAAGATTCTAATACAAATTAAATAAATAGCAATGTTGTCTATATTTTTCATGACAAGGACATGTCTCAAACTAGTAGATGTTGGCTATGAATATAATATTCAAGACAATTGATTTTACTTGAAACTCTGTTCATTATAGATCAATACATCTATCTATCAATCCAATCACCAACCACTAACTTTGATTTGTGGCCACTAAAAAAGTTGGAAACAATCATCACAAGGGATGCTTCACATTGTTGATACAAAATAATATACAGTCAACACAAATGCCGATTAAGATCTATCCCAAGAACTACAAGACAAGTTATTTGATGCCACTCAAGAAGATTTTGCAAGAACTTTAGTTTATTTTTCTTTCCAACAAAACCCTAATGCCCCACATCATCAATCTCTTGATTCTTGTAGTATGTGTGTTCAAGATATTGGCAACCAAATCTTTCTTGTACTACATAATTTAGTTCTTGAATATTCTATTGCATTTTCATTTTTTTTCTTTTTGAGTTGGGACCCTTATGTCTTGCTTTGTGTTTCAAGTAAAGTTTGTTTGGATTTTGTATGTACTTATTATCTTGCATGGTTTGTTATGGACAAGATAAGTAATGGGCTCGTCGAAATTTGTTTGTAACGCGTAATTTATTTCTTTTTGAAAGTATGCATGCCAATAATTATTATTTTTCGACCTATTTCACAATTGGAGTCTTCTAGAGCTTTGTTAAAAATATGAAAAGTCCTCTCGATTAGGAGCATTGAAACTCTTGAAACTTGTCAACATTGTTAATGAGAAGAAATTGTAACAAATGTGGTAGACTTATCAACTAGTTTTATGTTCTTTTTTTTTTTTTTTGAATTGATTATACAGTTTCGTCGTTGTTAATAATATATTTAATCCCACTTAATTAAAAAATAAATAAATAAGAAGTAATACATACGAAATACAAAAATAACACACCATTGTTAACCCTTTTCATCGAATTAATGAGTGTGTCAAGCTCTTGAATAATTTGTGAATATGTAATAATGATACCATTTAAATTGTGTATACACAAGAAAATACATACATGTTACAATTTGCATGAGCCCATTTATTTTTATATAGTTAATTTGGTTTATGATATATTTATACATTAATACATATATATATATTGTTTATTTAACCATTAATTTGTCACTAAAAATAAAAAGTAATCCTAGTTAATTTAAGCTACTAATTGATCCTTTATTGTAAATTTATACACAAAATAAATAAAATTATTAAGGGGTGTACTGATAAAAAAGGTTCAATTTTAATTTTATTTTTGCACCGTTCTATTTCTTGATAGCTACTCTACTTTAATTTATTTTTTCTATGGGCCAACTCATTTATGTCTACTTCATATTGGGCTTACTGCTTTATGTGCCTAATCCATTTTGTCCTAAGAAGAAAATAAAAAAATTGATGGAGGTGTGGCCATTGTTTTTACAATTTTAAGTTTTTTTGTTGCCAAGTATAACAAAAATTATTACATATATATATATATATATTTTGAGTTTCTATTGATTTTTATGGTTATATTTGTTTTGTAAAATAAATTGAAAGGATTTTTTTTTTTTTTTTTTTTTATAACCTTATGCTTGTTTACCAATCAATTTTTTTGATATATATATATATTAATACTATAAAAATTAATATTTAAAATAAAATATTTTTTATATTATTAAAACGATTTAAAAAAAAAAAAAATCTAAAAACACAAAATAGAAATTTGCCGAAACGTACAGAGTGCTCGAATCCAACGAAATGCAGTAGAGATTTGTTAAACGATTCGGTGTCGGAGACACCTAGCGCGTTACGCAAACAGGGTGGAATTTCTCCCGAACCATTTTTGTACAAGCGCCTCGATCCATCCACATTCTCAACAACTTCAACAATTTTGACAGATCTGCCTGCATTTGGCAATTCAAGGTTTTTTCTCTTCTCCCGCCGCTTTTTATGTTTATACCACCCCGATTCAAACTCTAGCTGCAATTTTTCCCATTTTATGATTACTCAATTTTGTTCTCTTCTGAGTTTTGGCCCCTTGTTTTAGGATATACAAGTTTATGTTGTAAATACGATTCGTCATTTCTGGTAATTGTCGATTTGGATTTTGATTATGTCAGAATGTTTTTGCGAATTACAGGCGATTGCGTTATCTTATCTTATTCGTATTTTGGATACATTTTTTTTCCTACTTGGATTGATGATATTTAATGCTGAGGAGAAGAAGGCTGATAAATATCTGTGATTTGATAAAATTGGGATTCATTTTAGGTTACTTTCGCTTGCACTGATTCAAGTAGTGATGAACTGTTGTATAATTATTCTGCCAATTCGAATCTAAAAGTGTCTTATTAGATTAGGATCCTTGTGTTCTACATTTGTCTTTAAGTTTTCGTCACATGGTTGTTTTGAATTTGTGCATTTTTTGGTATTGATAGCAATTGGGATAATGTAGGTTCCATTTGTTTAAATTGATTTAAATAGTGATGAATTTTTGTATAAAGTACCAATTCGAATAGAAAAGTCTCTTATTAGATTGGGATCATTGTGTCCTACAATTCATTTGTGTACACACTGATTTAAGTAGTGGTGAATTGTTGTATAATTATTCTGCCAATTTGAATCCAAGAGTTTTTTATTAGATTGGGATCCTGGTGTTCTACAATTGTTTTAAGTTTTTGTCGCATGGTTGTTTTTAATTTTTCATTTTTTCGGTATTGATAACAGGTGTTCTTGTCAAACACCAGAAATGATCTTGTGAGAGTAGCTGAAAGTCTTCTATTTGAAATTGTATTAGTTGGTTTCTTTTCCTAGGGACCCAACTATTGCTGTATATATTGTGGCAGCCAGTGAATGTAAATTCTCAAATTTTCTCATCGAAAAAGTGTCTGCAGAAGTTTGTGTTTTAGTATTTGGTCCCAAGGAGTGTACATAAAAAGGATGACGAAGGGAGGACAATCTATTAGGTTTTGGGGACGACAGTCTTCATTCACCATTGCTGTTATTTTTATAACGACTATATTTTTGTGGTCCTGGGAGAACAACCCACACCTCGTCAATCTATTATCGAAAGAGGAGCCGTTCATAATGAATACTCCAGGTAGTAAGTATTTTTTATCTTCAATTCTTTGATCCATGTCATTTTGTTGCTTTTATGTTACATTTCTACTTTGTAGTATGTGTTTTGCTTAAAATGCGCCAACAAGCAACCTTCAATGGACCATCTTTATTCCTTGTTTCAATTGACAATGTGTGGTAATTTGTCTATGTAACAGAATTCATAAAATGTATATATATTCCCAGACTATTTCCCACAAGTAGAAGCTATTTTTCATTTTTCAATAATAAGTTGTAATCTTCCTAGTAGAAAATGGGAACAAAATTATGCTATTTTCTGTTTGCTCTGTTTGAAAATATTTTTAAATGTTTATTTCAGATTTAGGCTGAGACTTCAATGTAGCTCAATGAGGATTGGATAAATCTTATCTCGTTCCGTACTCTGTTTTTCTTTGTGCAATAGTAACATTTTTGTGTGTTCAATTCGATTGGGTTTAAGCATTTTGTTGCAATTCTGTGTGCTCACTAAAGTCGCGTTTGAGTTACAGATCTTTTTGCCGATGATTCCGTGGAATCTTCTTTGCTATTAAATCCCAAAGAAGAGCTCAAAGATGAATATTCAATTACTAAATTGGAAGAAGGTAAAACAGTTGAAGAGGGTGTGCAGCATTTTGACAATTCAAACAGTTATTCTGTGGAACAGAAAGATGAGAACACGGTTTTGTCTTCCTCTTTGCGGAATGAAGGTATATTGCATCTTATTCGGTGTTCTGTTCAGTATATACATGTGTTATCCATTATTGTTTTTTACTGCATCCATACGGTCAAAAGAATGTCCATCAAGAAAGAAATAACTCTTCGTTTTATCCATTAATTTGCTTTCTCCCTTTCTGTATAAAAATGAAATTCTACTACCAGTCTTTGGTTTGTTCAAATTTTAAGATCGTTACTAATTACTATGAGATTGGGTGCACAAGGCATACTTTTAACTTCCCGAGGTTTGATTAGATCTAATGTCATCATTAGATTTCATTGTTTGTAATTCACCTGGAGTGTGTTTCTCGTTACAGATCTTTTTGCAGATGATCCTGCCGAATCTTCAACTTTATTGAATTCCAGTGAACAGAGGAAAGAGAAAGATTCAGTTTCTCAACCAGCAAAAGTTAAAAAAGTTGATACGAGCACAATACATTCTGAAAGTGCCGACATACATTCCGATGGAATTAAGGATGAAAGAAGGGGTTCAACCTTGTCTTTGCAGAAAATTGGTATGCTGCTTGTTATTATGTGCATCGCCATTATATTCACCTCATTTTTTATTGCAAAATTGATGGCAACCATCTGAGGGAAATTTCTAGAGAAGTCGAGATCTTTGCTAGCTGCTGGCGTTCATTTCATAAGTTTTTCCTGTGAGCATGACAATGTAAGATTGGACTCCATAATGGAGCTGTGAAGTTTTTCGCCAATGGAAACTCCGATCATAGTTTACATATCTTTTAGTCTATGAACACGTAAACTAGACAGGTTACCAGTCTTGATGAATCCTAATCGAGCTAAAACTCATGACTGTGATGCGTTGAAAGGATTTTGCTGACTACCATTTTATAATTTTTAACAGCTTGTAATTATGGGAAAGGAAGATGGGTCGCAGATAGTCGAAGGCCTCTGTATTCTGGCTTTGGCTGTAAGCAGTGGCTATCCGATATGTGGGCATGTAGACTAACCAAACGCAGCGACTTCTCCTATGAAAAATATCGTTGGCAACCGAGTGATTGTGATATGCCCGAGTTTGAAGGCGCAGAATTTTTGCGGAAGTACGTGTTCCCTTTCCTTCCCTTTCAAACATGTTTTTAAGTTGATTAATTGTCGCCACAAGCATATACCTTTCCCCGTAGTTCATTTGGTGATCATAGTCGTCTCTCTCTTTTAGGAGTATCGTTTTACTGGAAACGATAGACTTAGTTAGGCAGTGCAAGCAAATGTGACTAAGCCAAGAAGTTATGGATTCGATTCTTATTTATACGATCTCGTTAAAAACATCTGTAATTTTCAGAATGCAGGACAAGACGCTGGCATTCATCGGAGATTCTCTGGGCCGACAGCAGTTCCAATCTCTAATGTGCATGATCTCCGGCGGTAAGGACATGCCGGAAGTTGAGGACATTGGAGAGAAATACAGCCTGGCGAAACAGCAAGGAGCCATCCGACCCGACGGGTGGGCGTATTGGTTTCCCAAAACCAACACCACTGTTTTATATTACTGGTCGGCGAGCCTTTGCGACATCGAACCGATCAATGCCACCAACCCAGCCACCGAATACGCCATGCACTTGGATCGACCACCGTCATTTTTGAGACAATTCCTCCCGGGGTTCAACGTCGTGATTCTCAACACCGGCCATCATTGGAATCGAGGGAAGCTCAACGCAAACCGATGGGTCATGTACGCAAACGGAAAACGGGTTGTGGACCGAAAGCTAGCCATGATGGGGAATGCGAAGAATCACACGCTCTACAGCGTCGCGAGATGGCTCGACTCGCAGATTTCCTTGCGCCCCAGTCTCAAAGTCTTCCTCCGTACGATATCGCCGAGACATTTCTCTCACGGAGAATGGAACACAGGCGGTAGCTGTGACAATGTAACACCGTTACAGAAGGGGAGCGAAGTTTTTCACGACAGATCGAGTGATCCCGTAGTCGAGGATGCTCTCCGAGGCACCAAAGTAAAGATTCTCGACATTACGGCGCTGTCGGAGCTGAGAGACGAAGGGCACATATCGAGGTACAGTATAAAAGCATCTGACGGGATCAACGACTGCCTCCATTGGTGCCTTCCCGGAATTCCCGATACATGGAACGAGCTGGTCTACGCGCAACTTTGATTTGATTCCGGAAACTGCGTAAGTATGGCGATACTGTTTTTACGGTTTTTGTCAGACTTTTTTTCGTCTGCTGAGATCGGTGCATTCTTTCTGTAAATAGCCATTGTCTGCTCCGGTAGAAGCTGGCGGCGGCGGCGGCGGCGGATTGCCTGATCTGCTAACTACTAACGTTAAGCTACAACAGAGGTACATATTGTTTGGCTCAAAATTCAGGTCAGATTTGTGGATTTAATTTGATGGAGTTCAGCAATGTGGATGTGATTTATTGATTTTTTTGATGATGATATATATATAAATGCACCATTGATTGTCAACACTGCTGTGTATTAGACTAGACTGCTAATTTAAATACTACCCATTCTAATTTGAAAAGAATTACATAATTTAGTTCATATTTTAAATTTTCTAATATACTAGTATGATTTTCTTAATTTTAATTACATTAATTAATTATTTTTATTTTAATCTATACATTTGTATTGCAGTGTTATATTTTTTATACTCCCTTCGTCTCACATACCATGTCTAGGTTCTGTCTGTCTCATATTTCATGTCACTTTCTCTTTTTTAAAAATGATTATATACTTAATCGCATTTTAAACTTTTTAAGATTTTTTTAAAATTTTAATTAAACTAATTAGTTAGTTTAATCTTAATTTATAATTATTTTTACTAATACATTTTTAATTATCTACTAATTATACCCTTCCTGTATACAGTGTAGCAGACACGGCACGTGGGGATGGAGGGAGTATTATTTCATCGTACGCTTGACAGAGTATTATAAATGATTATGATGCCTAAGATTAGTTTTCAATTAAGAAAAACATATTAATCTTTCATAAATTTAACAGGCATAAATTTAGTGGTCGTGGAGAGGATAAAATAATAGTACAATATATACACATCAATAAAAATATCAAAGTAGTCAATAATTTGATACGTAATGGTATTATTTTTATATTTTTGACACGCATCTTCATATTTTACATTTTAAAAAATATATTTTGTGAAGATTGTGTAGTAGTGTATTTTTTATATATAAGGTAAAGGTTAGTTATTGATTAGCTTTAATGAACATATAAAATATACCTAATAGTATATACATATAATTGTTCACACAAAATATTATAAAATACACATAAATATGAATTAACAAATTTTATAATAATAATTCACACAATATATATTAATATTCATTCAGCATAAAATATATATTAATACAATATATATAGCATAAACTGGTAATATTTTATAATAATACGGACAACACATCAACTTTACCAATGTGCTAATTATCCCCAAGTAATGTATTTTTTATAATATATGTATATATATACTACCTCTATTCAACGTTGAGTGTCCTAGTCACTTTAGACACGGGATAATAGATAATCAATAATGTATTAGTGAAAATAATTATTATTATATATTAAGAATAAAATAATTAATTAGTTTAATTAAAATTAAAAAATTCAAAATAAAATTAAAATGGGTAATCATTTAAAAAAAAAAAGTGACATAAGATGTGAAACGAACGGCAACTTGAACATGATAAATGACATGGAGAGAGTATTACACAATAATAAAATAGCAAAAAAATCCTAAAAAACCGAGAAATAGCCTACAGCTTGCGTGCTCTTTTATTATTATTATCATTTTATTGTGCTCGTTTTTACACACGCAAGTTGTGTTTCATCAATTTGCCGGATGCACTGTGTAATAACTTGACTATGAAATCGTCAACTTTTTTATACTTTGACTAGAAAAGTCAAAGTGTATTTATTTAGATATACATACAATCAACAATATCAGATGTTAATTGGTGATAATATTTTAATCGCGTATAAATATATTTTAATAATATCAGGAAATTTGAAAGTTTTGAAAACAAAAAAATCAATAAAAAAATTAAATATATATATATATATATGATGCAAACTAAATAAATATTAGATATAATATTTAGTATGAACAATATGTTAAAGATGTAGTATTTTAGACGAAAAATAAATCTTTAATATAATTTTTTTTAAGTGAATCATTTTTAAAAGTAATTTAAAAATACATATGTATTATTTACTTAAAATTGATTTTAGTTTCTTTATTGTCTAACATTATAATTTTTAATAAAATATTGCTTTATCTCACAAATAAATATATTATGTTTAAATTAAAATCAAAAAAAAAAAAATATCAATGAGAGTTTGTTTACTAAGCGTGTGATAGGATAATATTTTCAATTCTAAAATGAATGCAAAATGACAGCCAATTAAAACTGATTATTAATTGCTCGGTTAATTTCATTGACTTTTTATTATAATTTTAATATTATATGCCCTAGACTTGTAGCCTGTAATAAGATTACCGGCATTAACATTTTATTAATCATGAAAAATATAGCGTTGTTTATGTTGTGACTTAAAAATTTATTTGAAATAAAATGTATTTATTTAAATAATATTTTCATATATATATATATATATATTTGATACAAAAGCAATTTAAATTTAAAATTACAACCAATATAAGATTTGTTTAGGTCGTTTGTCAAACTACTCCCTCCGTTCCGAAACTAAGTATTCATTTGTTTTTTTGCACGTAATTGTGATATAGTAGGAATAAAATAGAAATGACTAAAATAACCTTATCAGTATCTGTGATATAAAGGTAACGATTGTAAGTTGTAAGAATATTTGTAATGTTATGTAGAAAGTACAGTTACTAAAAAAAAAATGGATACTTTGTTATGGGACAGACTAAAATAAAAAAATAGATACTTTGTTATGGAACGGAGAAAATATTATTTTTACTATATAACTCCTATATATTAATAAAATTATAGTATCAATTTTCTTATAAAATAATATTTAAATTAAATATTAAAAAAAACAATCAAACTCAAATACAAGCTAACTAGATAAACCCATGGAGTTCTTTTCAGTTGTAATGAACTTTGGAGGTTTAAACTTTAAATTAAAAAAAATAATATATTTCGTCTATTTACTAAGTTAATATTTACTTAGTGCTTGTATATTAATTTTTAATATTAATTATTATATTAAAATATAATATAAATTAAGATAAAAATAAATAAAAAATATTTTTATTAGTATCTTATTCAAATATAATAATATTTGTATAATACATAATAATATTTTATTATTAAATACAATGACAAAATATATATATATATATAAACTTATTAAGCAAACGAAAAAAAATATGATTCATATTTTGTAAAAAAATATACTCCCTTCGTCCCAGTGGAAGGTTGTCACGTAGATTTTTAAATATTAGTATTATAATGGGTTATAGTGAAAAAGATGAAAATGTCCCTATTAGTATTGTATAATATAAAAGTAATGACATTTGTGTAATATAGTATAAGTTGAAATGATATTTATTATGTTAGATAGGTAGTATAATTACTAAATTAGGATATAATAACCTTGTTTTGGGACGGACGAAAATGCAAAATTGTAACCTTTACGGAAAGAATATATACTTTTAGAAGAAAAAAATAGTAAAAACCGAGCATGGAAACTAAAAATAGACAAATAGTTGTATGAGTTTTGAAAATTTGAAAGATTTGAAAAGTTTCGACAGACTAATAAAATTTTAGGTTGTGTTCTTATGTGGATTTTATCCTATATTTTTATTATTCAGATTTTTTTTTCAAAAATATCATATTAAACAATTATTATTTTTTTTAGATTATACTTCAATTTATTTTACATTCGAAATATCACATCAACCTTTATTCATGTCACATAAAAAAAATATTCAAATTCAACTTTTTACTATTAAAAAATTTTAAACTCAAAAACTACAACCTACGAAAAAACACACCCTTGAGTGTTTGATGAAATGTAAATAAATATTAAATTTGATATTTTATATAAAAAATATATTTTTAATATAATATTTTAAATAAAAATTAATTATTTAATATCAAAACTTTTAAATGTGCATATATAAAAACAGAATACTCCATTTCATTAATTTGTAGATTCATAGACGCGTTAAAGCTCTTGAAAATATCGTCAGGCATTTTTATTTATTGCTTCAAATTGACTGAAAGTGTCCTAATTATCAACTTTTATTTGGGGAATGGGTTTTAAATACAATATTCATCTCATTTTTTTCCTCTCAAAATATTAAATCAAACATTTATTTTTTATTTTTTATATTATATTAAAAATCAATTTTAACATTCAAAATATCACATCGTACAACTATTCAAATCCAAAATTTCTATTGTTCAAATCTCAACTCAAAATTCAAACCCCTAAACAAACACATCCTAAAAGTACTTATAATTTTAAAAAATATGAAATTGATTTTTATTTCCAATTTTTTGGATTTAGACTTGAAAACTTATATATGGTTTTGAACTCATTAAAATATTTCGTCATAAATTATATGACAATTTATTTATTTTTTTTCTCCACACATGGCCTTATTAATTTATCATTTTAGAAATATCACAAGTGGATCGCACTTAAAGATAATTAGTTTTCCAACTTTAAAATTTGTGGTAGAATTATATTTTTCGTGATTTTTTTTTTTAATAAATAATATTTCAATCTCCCAAAAAATAATCACTCCCTCAAGAATTTACATTTTTGTTTTAATTTAAAACTTGTATCCTGTACACCCAACTCTGTAAAAATCCAGTCATCAAACAATATTAAAATATTACTATTTTCGTCCGCTTCTAAAGGTTCCATTTATTTTTTTTTATGTGTTGATATTTGAATATTAGTTATTATATCAAAGCGTAGTACATATTAAGAATAAATTACAAAAAATAGATTAGTGTCTTATAATACTAATAGAAGGACATTAGTAAAAAAAAGTTTATACAAATATAAAAATATTTCTAATGTTAAAGTACAATAATATGCAAAAGTTAAATGTGACCTTTAAGGCTGATGGAGGGAGTAATTATTTATTTATTTATTTTTTTATAGTAAAATAGTATACATACATATATATATATATATATATAGATTAGAAGGGAACAAGATTTTAAGAATAGAAACAAACACACCCAAGAATTTATCGTCAACTCTATCCTTTTCTCAGTGATTATTTATACACTATAAATATCGATTCCATCTATAGATCTCCCACAAAGAAAATCCTCTGTCAATCCAAATTATTCTTCCAAAAACCCTAATTTATTAATTTCAAGCTTGATATATATATATATATATATATATATGGAGTTGGGAGAAAATATGTTTGTTGTATGTGCAGCCATTTTATTTATATGTGGTGTTCTAATTAGATGGATTTTGATGAAGATGAAGATGATGATGGTTGAATCATTATTAGTATTTCCCATACCCAATATTATTAATATTAATATTCCTCCATTGATGAAAATGCTCCCCACTCTCTACCTCAAAAGTCACCAACTCTACACCAAGATTACACAGGTAATTTAATTTGCTCCTTCATTTTATTATGCGTTTTTTGTTGACCAGGGCTACATTCTTTTAATTTAATTACCATATATATATATATATATATGTATAATATTATACAATGCAATGTCAATTTTATTTTTATAAAACATCATATAAAGTTACTTTATAAATACAAATCAAATGCATCCTTAAGTTCTTTTCTTTTGGTTGCATGTTTGTGTTTTTTATACATATGTTGGTATTTTTAGGTAATATAATTGTTAGATGCGATGTTATTAAATTAGCATCATACTTATGCCTTCAAAATTAATCATTTTAATTTATATAATAAAATAATAGAATTGATATAATCATGTGTAATTATTTTTTAAAACATATGTATGGTAAAATTGAGCACTCTAACATCATAAGTTTTGTGGTGTTTTTTTTCTTTTTTTTTGGAAATGGATTTTGGGATTTGAATTTTTATTTAAATAATATATTAATATAATATTTTGTAAAAAAAAAATATATTTACTCATTTTATGCTCACCTTTTCTTCTATATAAATTTTTTTTTTTGAAAAAAAGAACATAAAATTGGCTGACGGAGAAAAAATATATATTTTTTTTAATAATAATAATAAAGAACAAAGGCTACAAAATCAATGACGATATAGATATGTGATTTCTTTAAGACAAGTTTTAAATTAAGTATAAAAATAATAAGAATGCCCTTCTGTTCAGGGACCTATATTTAATTATAGACTACATACTTAAGTCAAACTACTTGTAAGACTCCGATTAGATAAAAGGTTTTTAAGTTTTCAAAGTTTTATATATAACAAAAATTTTAATATTTTATGTAATTTTTTTAATTAATGAATAATATTAAAACTAAAAAAATATATTTATGTATGTAAAATTAAGTTTCATAACTTAATAGCTGAATTTTTTAGTTTCTATTTGTTACTTATTTGTTTTTAACACTTGAAGGGTGTGCTTGTTTAGGGATTTGGATTTTGAGTTAGATTTAAATAGTAAAAATTTTGAATATGAATAATTGTACGATGTGATATAAGTAAGTATTGATATAATATTTTGAATGTAAATTAATTTTTAGTATAGTATAAAAAATAAAAATTAGGAATTTGATTTAATATTTTTAGAATTTTTTTTTTTATGAATAGTAAATATTTTTGCAAAATCCAACAAACTAACACCCCATAAGTATTTCTCGATACGAAATAGGTTTTAGAAGAGAACCGCGGCACGGTCTTATTCAAGACATCGTGGTTCACGAGTCACGACATTCTTATAACTAGCGATCCCATCAACGTTCGACATGTAATGAACTCCAAGTTCACGATCTACCAACGAGGATCCGAGTTCAAGAAGGCATTCGACTTCTTAGGCGAGGCCGTGTTCATCAAAGACTACGATCAATGGCGGGAAGAGAAAAGGTTCACCCATGGATTCTTCAAAGAAGCTCGATTCCACGACTCAATCCCAAAGACACTTCAAAAAACCCTAGAAAAAGCCCTAATTCCAGTTCTTGATCATCACTCCCATCACCATCAAGAATTGGAGCTGCAAGATTTCTTCAACAGGTTCATGCTCGATGCCACATGTCTTATGGCCACCGGGTTCGACCTTGGCGCGCTCCGCGTCGGCCTTCCTCCATGCTCGTTGCTCAAAGCAATGGATGACATGGCGGAGGCCGTGTTTTGTCGACATATCTTACCTGAAAGAGTATGGAAGCTCCAAAGATGGCTAGGAATTGGTAATCCTCGAAACATTACTATTCATCAGAATACTTATTTTCTCTCGTAAAATATTACATCATTCATTAATTTTTACTATTTTTTTACAAATGTTGTTATTAAAACCATGTCCTAGGCAAGGAGAGGAAAATGTCCAAAGCTTGCAAGAACCTAAATCAAATTCTAGCGAATTTCGTGTCGAAAAAGTACGAGGAAATCGATTCCAACAAGAGCACTCGCGAATCAAATCAGGGTTTCGATGTACTAAATTTTTACATTAGTAGCGCTACCAAAGGATCATCATCACCGGAAAAGGCCTATTTAGCTGCCAATATAATGACCATTTTGTTCGCCGGAAGGGACACATCCGCGGCGCTCTTGACATGGTTTTTCCACCTCATTTCAACACACCCTCGCGTTGAAACCACAATCATCGAAGAAATTAAAAAAATCACTTCCCCGGGGACAACAAGCCACATTTTTTCCAACATCGAAGAACTCAACAAACTTGTCTATCTCCACGCCACATTGTACGAAACCCTAAGACTATTCCCCACGGCCCCGGTAATAATCCGGGACCCGGTTAACGAGGATGTCCTCCCAACCGGGCACCGGATTGGAAAGGGGACGAAGGTGATTCTTTGCTCATATGCTATGGGAAGACGGCGCGACATTTGGGGCGATGATTGCAAAGAATTTAAGCCCGAGAGGTGGATGTCGAGGGACGAGAATGGAGGGACGAAACACGTGGCGTCGAGCAGCTTCCTTGCCTTCGGATCGGGCCCGTGGGCCTGTCCGGGCAAAGACTTAGGGTTTGCAAGAATGAAGGGAGTTGTGGCCACAATGCTACACAATTTTAAGATTAGGGTTTTGGAAGGGCAGACAATAAGCCCTAGTGTGTCTGCATTGTTGTCAATGAGACATGGCTTGAAGGTTAGGGTCCGAAGTAGATGGAATTAACATTGTTGTCGATGAGGTATATCATTAAACAATGGTATTATAGTAAATTTATTAAAGAATAGATAAAAAGATAATATGATAATTAGAAAAAAAATAATGATAAATTAATTATTTAGCTCCCCGTTGCAAGGTTTCTTTCAGGATTTTTATAGTAAATTAAAAAATAATAATATTTTATTAATTAATTAAAATGTATAAGAATTTTTGATATTTTTGTAGTATTTGATTTTATATATAAAATAATTGTAGACGTAATTCAAGTAAAAGTTGTAACTATTTCGTATGAATATTAAAAATGGTAAAATTACAATCAACCAACAAAATATGACATAATTACAAGCTTTCAATTAAATAAATATATTTAATTCCGGGCAGAATTATTTTTTTAAATAAAAAAATTAGTGAAAAATAAAATAAAATAAAAAATAAGAAACATTACTACAGAAGGCATGGAGTATATGTTTGATGGGCCAGTTAAACTCTTGATCCAAATACATAATTATATAAACCCACCAGAGCAGCTAAAGAGAATGAATGATCTTCGCCGGCTGCATGTCTGTGTGGTGGCGAATGGCGCTTCGCATCTTCTCCACATCTTGTGCTACCGGTACGCTTTTCTTCTATCCATCCGATTAAATTCCTGCTGCTTCTTTAGCATTCAATTACAATTAGACTCCTGAATTTCTGCTGGTCGATTTTGTGAACTAGTTTGGGGCTGATTTGATTCTGATTGGTGAGTTTTTTTAAGTTTGTGCTGATCGAGCAAAATTGATTGTTCATGAATTTTGATTTCTGCGTAGGAAACGTAATGTACGGAATTAGGCATCCAGTGGTATGCAGATGGAAGAGGAATGATCAAATTTGTGTTTTTGGGAACAAAAGAGTGTCTCTGAGGAAGAAGGCAAGAAACACCACATGCTGTTTAAATGATTTAGAAGAAAATCATCCTTGTTTGCCTTCGGAAAACGAATTGCTCGGCAGCAAAGTCGTATATTCAATTGCTCCAGCCATGGGCCATAACAAGGTCGAATAATTAAGTTAATTGCTCCGACTTAACTGCTTGCTTTCGCTTATTGTTTATGTCGTTTTGGGAACTTTTCCATTGTTGTTGCTCTTCATGTTTGTTGGGATTGTTGGACTTGTTTCGAATAAAGTGTCTATTCATTTGCATATATAAGTTTAGTGATTTTAATTTCTTTGTTCTGTGGTATGGCTTCAGATTGAGTTTGTTGAGTTTTTGTGTGAACTAATAACTGCAATGGTTATTTTTCGAGAAATTTATGAGTTTAGGTTAGCTCCTGCTTTGTCCATTCTATGCCAAAATGCTCATTTCGGTTTTTTGTTTGTCAGAAACAAGTAAATTGTTTATTTGATTCATCCCCTATTTAGAAATTGTGTGGCTTTTTTAGTCTGTATAAATTCAGATTTCTTTTAAGGTGATGTATTTTGGTTGAAATGAAACTCTCGTTTGTTTCTCATTTTGGTGTTTTGGAACTTTGTCAGGAGTCACACCCTGAGTGTAATTCCAGAGTTCCTGCCATTACGGACATGCTTGCAAAGATGGAGCTGACTTCAGAGGTTTGTAAATTATGATAATAAAACTATTCCTGCAGTAGCAATAAGAACATTTTTACTTAATTCTTAGTAACGGTTTTTTTGTCAATGTGTTAAAAGAGTGTAACTATTCCTCTTCTTTTCCTTTATTTGTTTTTATCATTTCATTGATGTGCGCTAATCTTTCATATCATGATATTGAACTATCGAAGGTGTTAATTTAGGCCCATTTATGCTTTTCATTTAACAAATTATGCCTTTGAATGGTCACTTTATCTTCATGGATTACATTAATATTTATCTTTTTGGCTTGTTCTATTATGTGATTAGTTCCGGGGACCCGACGTTATTGAACTTAGCAAATTCAGGCCTGCTGAAGTTGATGACATAGCTAGAGTTCATGAAAGAGCTTATGTTTCAAATCTTGAGAAGGTTAGCATAGTTTGCATTAACGAACTTTTGATATCTATTATGTGAACTTTACTACGTGCAACGACACTCATCATTTTTTTCTTCTTTGTAGGCAATGGATAAGGTGTCGGAACAAGGACTTATATTGATCGAAGGATCCGGGCCTACTTACGCTACATCCACTGTGAGATGGCACTTTTAACTCTTCTATGTTTCTGGAAGTTAACTTGAGTTATAATATAATGCGATGTAACATTACCGTCAAAATCATATTCTGTTGCCGTAAATACAGCAAAAAATTCGTCCGTTTAGTTCAATCGTTCATAAACATAACTTCATCGTATAAATACTAATTCCTTTCCATATTGCACTCTTGAGTACAGACCTTCCAGGAGTCATTACTCGCGGCTGGAGCGGGAATTTCATTGTTGGATGCCGTGGTGATTTCTCGATCTAAGATGTTAGTCACTTAATAAGGAATTTTGTTGTCTCACATTTCATTTTTTGAACTACCCGAGGCCATGTATCCACCCGATGATACCATACACTTTGTGACTTAACCTTCGTTGATTATAAGATCTCGCGCCACTTTTTATACGATATTTTCTCCTATAATGCAGGTCGCAGCGTCGAAAATCAGAGAAGATCCTCCAGTCGGTTTTGCTTTGGTACGACCTCCCGGTCATCACGCTGTTCCAGCCGGACCCATGGGGTTTTGCGTGTTCGGAAATGTAGCCATTGCTGCTCGCTATGCACAGCATGCACACGGGCTCAAACGTGTGTTTATAATCGATTTCGATGTCCACCATGGAAATGGAACACACGATGCCTTCTACAACGACCCCGATATATTCTTTCTTTCTACTCACCAAGTAAGTAGCTAATGAATTTTTCATTCTTGATAAGATCTCCAAAATTCGAAAGCAGCGCCCGGAGTTTCTAGATACTTTCAACTTGTGTTTACACTCATGTAGGATGGGAGCTATCCCGGCACGGGGAAGATACATCAGATTGGCAGCGGTGACGGCGAGGGAACCACGCTAAATCTCCCTTTGCCTGGAGGATCAGGCGATAGAGCCATGCGAGATGTCTTTGATGAAGTCATTGTACCATGTGCTCTTAGGTTCAAACCGGACATCATTCTTGTTTCGGCCGGGTAAGTGCTTTTATTACTACTTTTTGTTCGATATGTTTTTTGCTTGATCTTAATAGTTCCGGTAACTATGGGTTTAACTTATAAAAATAATACCTATTGTTGCAATATATTTTAGTATAGAATCACGTAGTGCAAAGATGAGTTTGAAAATACAATTTTCTTTTTTTTATTATTATTTGGCCCTTCACCCTTATATATTAGGGGAGTTTCCACACGTAGGACAATATTCAATATGATTCCGTTCATATGTGCGGCTTTGATAAATGTGGGACAATATTCAATATGATTCCGTTCATATGTGCGGCTTTAACATATCTTTTTTTATGTTGAGATCAATCTGTGGTATGTTGTATTATGTTAAAATACGCTTTATTGTTGATTTATATTTAATGTTGTACTCATCTACATTTCATGTGATGTAAACACAGTAATTGATTAATTTCGGTCAGTTGGTCAGCACTGTAACTGCCGTTTATTATGAGTACGTATGCTTAACAATTATGCTCGACAAATGCCTCCAGATACGACGCACACATGCTGGACCCGCTGGCGAATCTTCAGTTCACAACGGGAACATATTACATGCTGGCATCGAACATTCGGCAGCTTGCAAGAGATCTATGCCGGGGTCGGTGTGTGTTTTTCTTGGAAGGTGGTTATAACCTCAGTTCTCTTTCCCATTCGGTTGCAGACTCGTTCAGGGCATTCCTCGGGGAATCTAGCCGGGCATCGGAGTTTGATAACCCGGCATTCTTGTACGAGGAGCCGTCGAAGAGGGTGAAGGATGCTATACAAAAAGCTAAGCACATACACTCTCTGTAAGAACGTCTAAAGCACTTGTGTTGATAATGTCCAAACATTTTATGTGGCTCCTATACATGTTTTGGTAAGACTTTTGTCGATCCATCGTTGGGTTCTTTGACTTATATTTTTATCAGGAATATGGGATTGAATAGTAGATTTTTGGGTTTGAAATCAAAATAATATTTTGCTAGCTACTCTTGGTTATCGATCATATGAGAATCAAGCAACGAATTTCAAACAGCGAGTGTCGTTATGAATTTTCTGGCATCGGATAGAACAGTACCTTGTCCCGCATTGGACACAAGTGTAGTTTGAAGAAAATCCACACACTGTGCAGAAATGGCGACGAGCTGTGGAGCTTGGAGGCCCGACAGCTGCTCTCAAGTAGGACGGAACATGGGGAGGCAACGATTCGAGGTTTGCCTGGGTTTTAACATTTTTTATTTTGCGTTAGGACAGTCATATACGACTAACTGAGAATTTAGAGGCGTTGTTGAAGCCATACCTCGTGCAACAGCTCTAGAAAAGTCCTCGGCGCTTTCTTGGCATTTTCAAGAGCTTTAGCTTGCCGGGTTTTCCTTTTCGTGCTTTTGCTTTGCTTCTTCTGATATGCTGCAGAACTCGAATATATCATGCTATAAAATGGACTTAGGATTCGACACGTTTGAATAGAATTGTAAATTGCGCGAAAAGGGCATAATAAACAACAGTTGGTTAACACAGCTGCAAATCTCCAACAGAGAAATATGATGACAAAAAATCATATCCTGACTAAATTTACCCCTTGTAATATACAAAGTTGTACAAATTAAACTACTTTCAAATTAGATCATAAACTCTACTCAGAATATAAATCCACAAGCATTGTATTTTCTTACATAATCAACGAAACATACAACAATCGAATAGTTATCAATCATTACTCAAAATTCACATTCTCACAAAACCATATACCCTTTTACCATAAAACTATCAACCATCCTAATGTTTCAAACAATTGTTGTTCAATGACTATAAAACTCTGTAAAAATCAACCATATATTACCGAGAGATCAATATTTATTACTACAATCAACGGCAACAACCATGATTTCTTGCACTTGAAACACTCCACAACTAGAATTGTGATCTTAGTCGAGGATAAGATATCAAGGCTACATTTATTATATTTTCATCATATTTCGGCACCATCCAATATACCAAAAATTAATTCTTTCCCATTCAAATGCATTAATATCTAATTTCCATTCAAAAAATTCAAATCCAAATCAACCAAAATAATCCAAAAACACAAGAAAAAACACCCAAATATCTTCTGAAAAATCAATAATTTTTTATGCGATGCATTTTCACTTATAACAGATAATACTTAATATCACTGAAATTCGACTAACCTTGATCGTCATCGTCTAGAGAGGCCTCATCATCATCCTCGTTTTGTACCGTTTCCAGTCCAGCATTATCATTCTCCAAAGCTTCAAGACGAGCAAGCATAGCCTACACAAATCAAACCAAAGCTCTAATCCATCAATTAAATGAAAACAAACACCATGGAATTCAAAATCCACGCTCACCTGAGTCCGATTATCGCTGCTGGAAAGAGCTGCCGACATTTTTGAGGCAACCTTACGAGTCCTAGTCGACATACGTCGCACCGAATTGGACATTTCTTCATCCATTGCTGCACGGTAACCACCAAAATTCAATCCGGAAACTGCAAATGGAAGAATATCAGTACCAAAAACACATTTCGCGAGCAGCAGCCTCGAAAAAAATTTACTGTTTCTCAGGGACATTTGATCGAACACGTTGTCTACCAATTCAAATAGCACATCTTGGTTACTTTTCCACCCCACCCAGAAAAATACACAAAATCCACAAAACTGAACGCACCACGAACAAGAATATGATATGAAGATTACCTTCGGCAGCTGTAATCGACGATCTACTCGGTAGATTATCGACGTTTCGGTGAGCAAGAACCTTCGAATCGAATCGGTGAGCAATTTTCCAAATTCAAATTTAGACACATAATGACCAAATGGGCTATTATATAATGACCTTATTATAAATGGGCCTTTTCAAGACAAATTTAGGCCCAGTTGCTCTATATAATATGTTTAATTTTCTTTTTCAATAGTTTTGTTAGTCGGACTTAGAGTGTGTTTCTTGATAAGTTTGGAAAAAAATTGGTTTGAATTTGATATAAAAGTAATGTTTGATGGAATATTTTACAAAATAAAAAATAACTTTTTTTTTTAAGAAACATAGAATTCAAATAATAAAATTTGGAGAACTGTGATTTAAAAAGACAAACTCTTAGTTTTGGCAAAATCTTTTATAATATGCTCGTGTTTTAAAAAAGTTTAAAACCCTTTTGTGTTTTAAAAGATATGACATATAATCTTTTAAAAATTGTGTGAGATTATTTTGTATTTTAGAAAATATTGAATATTTTTTAGAATATGAGTTTTGTTCAATTTTTAAATTATGAGAAAAGATGGTACAGACTTTTCAAAGTGTTACAAGCAATTTTGTCTTAATCTTTTATTGATACATTAATAGAAAATACAATATATACATATTAGTATATATTATATTTTCTCATAAAAAAATTAATAATTCACCTCTTCACAAATTCACTTAAAAATATCTCAACATAAAACACACTGACTCACACACCAAATATTTTAATGTAGGATCATCTCAATCTTATAGACATACATTATGTTTTCTCATATAATATTATATTTTATTTATTATTTAAATAAAAATATAAAATAAAAAATTTACAATATTAAGTGAATACATTTCAAGAGTTTGGTTTTTAGGATTTATACTTGTATTTTAATTTTTAGATTAAGTTGCAGTCTGATGTTTAAAAATATATACTATATATATATATATAAAATTATATATTGATATCAAAATATTTTATAAAATAAAATATATATCTAATGTGTTATATTTAAATATATATGTATATAATAGTAACAAATCATTGTAAAACTTTGAAAGTATACTAAACCTTGAAAAAGACAACACCCAAATTCTTTTGTTCTCACCATTACATGAATGGTTGGCACTCGGCACCATTTTCGCCTCAAAATTCGAAATGAAAAATTGTTATTACAACTTTTACATCATGTCAGAATTAAATTCCGCAGGTCTGTTTTTTATTATTTAATTTAATGACGAACCAAACATAATACTAATAATACTACAGTATATTATTACTCCCTCCGTCTCAAATAATTTGTCTCAATACTAAATAATTATGTTAATCTTAATTCATAATTATTTTTATTATACGATAATTATTTTTATTAATATATTTTTTAATTATTTACTAATTACACTTTATCTAAATTCCTATATCTACAGCAATAAGCTCATTATACATAGACCCGATGGACTACAATTTAGTCATAGGTTTGGCTGGCCGACCGTCTTTATATAATAATAAATATATTAACTCTTCAGAAATACTATTATAATTAAATCATCACAAATAAATAAAATAAAGACACTATTTGGAATATATACGATATTTTGAATATAATAATTTAAATAGTATTGAGATATGAAGTCTGATTATATCCTAAATTTTAGGGATATGATTTAGATATAATATCTGGGATATATATGATTTGGATGTTATAAATATCCGTGTATTCTCACTTTAACATGTGCCTGAGTATTTTATACTAGAATTTTTGGCTTAGCAGCGCCGCCCCAGACGTAGATCATCTTAATCGAATTGGGTTACAAAATTTTTATTTTTTTTTGTCTTTGTTATCTCATCTTGATTTCTTAGAAATTTTCGTAACAAATAGAAATACAAATTTAATAAATTTAATGTACAATAATATTTAAAGCATCCAAACACGATGCAAAAATAACACATGAGAAGTATTTCAAACATTTTTGTTTTTATAAAGATAATAAAAAATATAAATAAAAATAAATATTAAATATAATATTTTAAATAATATATTTAAATAATACAAAAACAAGATTGAAATCAGCAACATACCTACCAACTTTTTTTTTTTTGAAAAAAAGGTTAATGTAATTATGCAAATTTTTAAGAAAAAAAAACACTTTTGACCAAAGTGTAATCATCCATGTCTTTTTCTAAAAAAAGAAAAATTAATCGATCTTTATTTTTGTTACAATAAAATTTGTTTGGGTGGTATTTTAATTGGGTTTTAATTAAACAATATTTTGATAAAACAATATAATATTTTATAAAAAATAATATTATTTTTTTATTATTAAAATTAATAAAAACCGAATATATAAAAAAAGTTATTTTAAATTAAAATCAAACGAACATGATAAATTTCTAGGCAACTATAATACACATTGATTTCTAAATTAATGATTGAGTATGAGATTATATTAAAATATTATTTAAATTAAAAAAATTAATTATAGAGACAACCCAAATAAATCGGAATATGCCATTACGTCCTCTTCGATCAAAGCTTAAAATAATGAATCAATAAATTCAACACGTACTTGGTTTGTTTGGTTTGTACTCAAACCCTTTTCTTTATTATTATGTATGCATCCTTTCAAAAAATATATATTTATTTTATTTAAATACTCTAATTATACACATATATATATATAAATATATTGTTTTTTTAAAAAAAAAAAAAAAATTATCTATTGTCTACACAGTCTAGTTTAATTACTCTTTTTTTTTTAAATCTATATTTATTAAAATATTATTTATTCTATAATTTTACAGCTAAAAATTGAAACACAAATCTAAGCAAACAATTGGTCTTCCATTCATCAATTTATATCATGCCATTACGTGCTCCCCGATGGATTAATTTTATGCTTCGATTTTTCTAGTTTTGTCTGTATTCCGATTCCCGAATCGATCGATACGATACGCGCAGTCAGTAATTCTGAAGTTTCTCATGCAGATATGAGGCGCTCTAGGTAGCCATGGCCGGCGGTTATTTAATTGGAAGATGAAGCAGCGTAAGATCAATTTAGGTTAATCGAAGAAGAAACAAACGAGGAGGAGCGATTGGGGAATCTTCTGTGTGTATGTGTGTAAAAAGCGTAACGGAAGTTGATAATGGAAGGTGAAGCCCGAATTCATCGGGCTTTTGTATTCAATTTCAAAAGCCCTTCGTCGGCGTTCCTGCTGCTGACGGTCGCCGGAATCGTCGTCCTTAGCCTCCACGTCACGAGGGAGGCGGTTTTCCCGTTCGGTTCGGTTTCGGAGGAGCCATTGGAGGGGAGCTGCTGCAGTCAGCTGGATTCGCCGCGGAAGGAGATTAAATCGATTGTGGAGTTCGGCGGTGTCGGAGATGGGAAAACGTCGAATACGGCGGCGTTCCGGCGGGCGATTGAGCATATGGCGAATTTCGCCGGCAGAGGTGGGGCCCAGCTAACCGTACCCGCAGGGCGGTGGGTCACGGGAAGCTTCAATCTCACCAGCGATTTCACGCTTTTTCTAGAAGATGGAGCTGTCATTTTGGGATCTCAGGTAGTACGATTTTTTATTTTTTTAAAAAAATTATATATACTTTGGAGATTAATCTTAAATTTAATTAAATTTTTAAATCCAGCTGTTGGTGAAGAACATGTTTAGGTTCTTTCTGTTGTCTTAAATGTTTGTTGAAGAAGAACAACTTTTCTGTGGGTGGGTAGGGGTGGGAAAGGCAGAAAGGAAGCATTAGCTTTTGGCAGATAGCAAAGTCCAATTAAATAATTGAAATGAGTAGCAGAGGATTTGTTTTTTTATGCATTTTGATTCTTGGCTTCATTCTTCTTGTTCGATTTCTTGTTAATGTCATCTTGATTGTTCTTTAAATCTTCAAGTAAGTGTGTATGTGTTGTTTGATTTGAAAGGTGTTATTATAGATTTAGGATTGATATTCTAAAGATTTCTTGTTAATATATTATCCTGATTGTTCTTCAAATCTTTAGCCCTAAGTATGTGTTTATGTTGTTGGATTTGATGAGTTTCGGATTGTTGTTGTGAGATTTGTTGTTAATGACATCCTAAGGGTGTGTTGTTAGTTTATTTATTTTTTATTTTTCTGGTTTTGTATTTTGGATTTTGATGCCGTAAAAATTGAACATTAACTCTAAGAGACCGGGATGTTATTGTGCTGACTATAGATATGCTATATGAATATATATTTTGTACTCAAATTACTGGCAGCATATCCCGTATGGACTATGTCAGGCGTTGTTAATTCATATACGGCATTTGTGCTGTATTAACGTAAATCGTATGTTGTATGTCACTATGTGCGGAGATTATAAAATTCAGTACAATATTCGCCACCCAAATAAAACATATGTTCAATTGTTCTTCAAATCTTTAGCTCACAGCAAGTGTATTGTTGTCGTTTGATTTGATGAGCTTTGATAGTGTTAGGACCCTCAAGAATGGCCCATCATCGCGCCATTGCCATCATACGGACGAGGCCGGGAGAGGCTTGGGGGGAGACACATTAGCCTCATCCACGGCAACTCTTTGCGCAACGTTGTCATTACAGGTACCATACCAAATCATTCATTCATTCATTTTCCATTGTTATCTTAATGAGCCTTGTTAGAGACAGCCTTTGATCGAAGGAGTTGACAAATGCATTGCAGGGCATAATGGGACGATTGACGGGCAGGGGAAGTGGTGGTGGGATCTATGGTGGAACAAGACATTGGAGCACACGAGGGGCCACCTCGTCGAACTCATGTATTCAGACAACGTCGTCATCTCCAACCTTACTTTCCTCAACTCCCCTTTCTGGACCGTCCACCCCGTCTACTGCAGGTCCCTCCTTGTCTCCTTTATTTCCCTTCCTCTTTGAGAATTTGATCGCTATCTTTTTTTCAATTAGTGTAAGAACATAGATTTAGATCGATTGCCTGCTGAAAAGTATATGTATAGATATAGATAGATTCGAGCATCATTCGTCACGAAAAGTATGCCGAATTATTTTATGTATTTAGTAGGGAAAGATTTTTAATCTTTGCTGGCGTTAGGACAAGATGATAGTATAGTAACATTGCTGTCCTTAGCGTTGGACTGTTCTCTGAAAACAGTAGAAACGACGAAGAACATAAAATGGAATCATCTCAGTGTTTGTTGAAAAATGCTGTCTTGATTTTCTATTATATTCAATTCTCGGAAACAAAAAAATCTACTACAGGAATTAATGTAGAGACTGGAACATAATAAACGACCATTTATAACTAACTGTTTGAGATATCTTCGACATCTGGCTTATGGGTAAAATTAAATTTCTTTTCTCTAGATTAAATTGTTATTATTTAAGTCTAATTACACATAGGCTTTTGATTTTATAATTAATAATATGCAACAATGAAGTTCTGCAATGTAACATGTCTCATTTTTCGGGTACATTCAAGTAACCCGATTTTGAGATTCCTGCCATTGCCCATTTTCCAAAGTTATTTTTTAGTTTCAATAAAATTTGGATCTTCGATTTTCTGTTCTAATTTCGTTCAAAGTTTAGTAGCCTTTATTCTAAAATTTGCCTTTTATTCTAACTGCGTCGAAAGCTTTGTTTTCGACTCTAACGATATTGAGAACATGCTTTTGACTCTTATTCTGCATCAGATCTTGATTTATAATTTAAGAACATGCATTTATATATATATATATATATTTTCAGCAATGTTGTGATCAAGAATATGACAATCTTGGCGCCTCTGAACGCCCCAAACACAGACGGCATAGATCCGGGTACGATTTTTAAGCTCGTATCGTTTGTTTGAGTTAATGTTGTCTTTAAGATGGAGAAACATCTGAGTAGCTAGTGTTAGTAATTAGTAAGAATAAGAAGCCTTTGTTCTACAGATTCAAGTACAAACGTTTGTATCGAAGATTGCTACATCGAAAGCGGCGACGACTTAGTCGCGATAAAAAGCGGTTGGGACCGTTACGGCATTGCCATGGCTAGACCGAGCATAAACATCACCGTAAGGCGCGTCTCGGGGACAACTCCAACATGTTCGGGCATCGGCATAGGCAGCGAGATGTCTGGCGGGATCAGAGATGTTGTAATCGAGGACATGTACGTAAGAGACTCGGCGGCGGGGATACGCATCAAAACCGACCAGGGGAGAGGCGGGTACATAACTAACGTGACGATTCGCAACATTATGATGGAAAGAGTAAAGGTCCCGATACGATTCAGCAGAGGCTCCAACGACCATCCCGACGAGAGATGGGACCCTAACGCGCTGCCGAGAGTGAAAGGGGTGTTTATAAGCGACGTAATGAGTTTGAACTCGAGGAAAGCCCCGCAGCTCGAGGGGATCGAAGGGGCAACGTTTGAGGATATTTGCTTGACGAATGTTAGTATACTCGGTTTATCGTCGTCGTCGCCCTCGTCTCTGCGGTGGAACTGCAAGTTCGTCGAAGGATTTAGCAGTGGGGTGTCTCCGATCCCTTGCGCCGAGCTGCAAAAGAATGGGTCCTCGTCGTTTTGCTCAATCGGGCGATGACGAGGAACGGGAGTCGATTGGATTCATTCATTTGTTCGTTATATATATAAGTTGTTTGATGTAATATTTTGGTTGACGATGAGTTGAGTTTTACTATACAAAAACGCAATTAATTCAATAGAGAAATGAATAGGGAGTAGGAATTATTATTATTATTATTATTTCTGCTGGTTCCATTTCCAGAAGACGTTGGAGCCACACTTGTAGATGTCTTTGCCTTTGCATTCGATGTCGAGGTCTTCAGAGAGAAAAGGGACTTTGCCCTGCTTGGCCAGATCTTGGCAGCCGGTGAAGTTCTCAGGGAACTTGCACGTGCCGAACTGCACGGTGTAGGCACGTGCGAAGTTGGCGTTTGTGGTCGCCAGCCTCTTCTTGTCGTTCAATTCCTGCCATTTATTTATTTAATTATTTAGGAAAATGTAATATAATAGTCTTAATTGATGATTGTGATTGATTAATTAGGTTTACCTTGTTGGCCTGGCTTTTGGCCAAGTAATCATCGATGACGCCGGCGTTGGCGGTGGCGGTGGCGGTGACGGTGGTGGCGGCAAAGAGGGCGACGCCGAGGCCGATGAGGGCGGCTTTTCTGCCGGAGGGTTGGGGTTGGGGTTGGGGTTGGGATTGGGATTGGGCTTTGACGAGGAGTGGAAGGGAAGGGAGTTTAGAGGAGGAGGAGGAGGAGGAGGGCAGGGAATTAGGGTTGATTTGAATGGGTGAGATGGCGTAGGTGGAGGAGGCCAATAGGTGAGCAGCCATTGGAGGATTGATGGATTGATTGATTGAGGTTGGGGATGGAATGGAATATTAATTAGTAGTATAATATAATGAAAGATGGATAGAGGAAGAGCAGTAGTAGTGAGTAGTGTTGGGGAAGATGAAGATGAAGAAGAAGATGAAGATGATGTGGTGGGAGTGGGAGTGTGGTGTGGATAGGATAGGGTGAGATTGTCTGAGTCTCCTATTGGCTGGCAGGGACGAACACATGTATTTCTACTTCTAACGTGTCCGTGGGTGGGGTGGGGTAGGGTAGGAACCCATTTTGGCCATGTATTCCAATTGTGGGTGTCAATAGACGCAAATTTATGACCCTAAAAATGGTCTAATAGTAAACTTTTTTTTTTTTTTTTTAAATAACGTGGAACTCGCAGCTATTATTCGACTTAATAGTAAACTTTTGATCGTATAATTATAAACTCGGAACATCATAATATATATATATTTTATTTTTCTTTTCTAAGGTAGGATTTTATCTTTGTTATTATTTGAACTCATAATTTTATAGTCAGTCGTAAGTCTATTATCAAACCATTAGCTCATCCCTTTCCTTTAAACTATGCACACTGCACAACTGAATTTTTTTGTTCTTATTCTCTTCTCTCTCCGCCACATAGTAGTTATAACCCAATATAATAAAAAATAATACTATTCTCCAAAAATTATTAATATTTTTCATTTGTTCGATTCATTATCATATTTTATTATTTATTTATATTAATTTTTTCTTTCTAAAATATATTACCTCATATATCTATTTTATATTTAGTATATTACATTAAAAAAATAATAATTCAAACTATCACATTACACATTTATTTAAATTCAAAATATTAGAAAATCTTAGCATTTGTTTAAAAAAAATATATACCAAAACTTCAGAACACACCCAAACAAAAAATCATTGGGCCATATATCTATGAAATTTTTTTATTTTTAATTCACTGAATTCAAGAATGTATTTCTTTGTGGTTTCATCTGAATTTTAAATAAGAAAATTTTGAATATTATTTAATATAATATAAAAAAAAATATTTGATTTAATATTTTTAACTTCTTTATTAAAAAAAATACTAATAAAAACCAAAAACAAACAAAGCCCAAATGCTTCAATCAAATGAGAGGTTGGTGGGAACATAAACACTATTTTCCTACTAAAGTGAAATTTAAAAGTTTAATTTGTAACTATTTCTTCTAAAATTAAACTCATTAATTATGGGTATGTTTCTTTACCTCAAATTTTTCAAATTTTACTATTTGGACTCTGCATTTTTCGAAAAAAATACACTTTTTTTTTTCCTAAAATATTCCATCAAACATTATTTTTTTAAAAAAAAAAAAACATACCCTATATTAGTGAATTCAAATGGTGGGTACATAATAATAATAATAATAATTTGTTCATCTTATAAAATTATACAATATTTTTTGTAAATTTTATTCTTTGATTCATATATTTGTCTTTAAAAAAAATAAAATAAATGGAACTCCTTTATATATTCAGTATAAATTTTTGTGAATAAATTTATAAGAATTTTATGGATGATTTTTTCTAACATAATAATTGAATGTATAATGAAATTTACACATAATATAATATTTATAAAAAAAAATAATAATGATGATGTAATTTGCCCTTAAAGGTAGAAATTGAGCTTAATGATGAGTTTATTGGACATAAAATAAAAGGTAACTCCATAATGACTTTTCAAATAAAAGTAAATCAAATAATTATTATAATAAAAATATTATATAATAATTCTAATAAATTGAAATGATTGAATATATGAGTATTGAATAAATTTTTGTTTAAATAATATTTTGATGCGATATTTTGTGAGATAAAATAATATATTTCTATTGAAAATTATAAATGGTGAATAATGTTGATTTGAATTTTAAATGATAAAAAAGTTAATTTTAAATTTTTATTTGAGTTCTAATTTAAATAATATTTTGTGAGTTAAATATAAATTTATATTGAAAACTTTTGTTTGAATAAAAAAAGGCCATTATATTTGTAAAAAATAAAATAAAATAAAATTGCGGGGTCCACATCATAATTATGAAATGATTTAGTTACTGATTTTTAAAAAGGAGAGTTTTTTCATTAATATGCTTACTAATTTTTAGAATTTTCAACTAATTTTATTTCATAAATTAGTGCCACTAAAAACTTTGAATTGGGGAAAGGCACATCTGCAAATTATCTACTACTAAATAATTTAAAAATTTTAAATAAAAATTTAATTAGTAAATATTATAATTGAATTTCCATAGTATAAAATTAATTTAATTAACCAACTAATTAAATATACCTATTAAGATTTTCACAATCTTATAGACCATATATATCCCAATATTTCCTTTTTTTTGAAAAAAAAAATCATTATATGTTTATTATAAATAATTTGAAATCTCTTAAATAAGAAATTAAATTAAATAATTGCACTTGGCATAATAAATATATAGTATGCATAATAATAATAATAATATTATTATTATTATTATTTAGACACTTCAAAATGCAATAAATATATAAATTAGTATTTTAATTTTTTTTTTTTTTTTATCAATTGTTGATATTATGCAAGAAAGTTTTTTTTGGTAAATTAATTTAAATAAAAAAATGGTTAATTAATTAATTCTCTTATGTAGACCTTAATCTCTCTCTCTTTTTTTTTTTTTTTTTCTATCAATGATTATTTATTAAAATGTAAATATAAATAAAGGATTTGTGAAATTTTAATATAAATTATAGCTAATTGCTCAATTAGGAAGCAAAGTTTTATGATTTATACCTTTATATTGTTAAATATTAATTTCTTCTAAGTTAATATATAAAATAGAATCAAATATATATATATATTCAAATATTAATATAATCACATAAAATGTAATGTATAATTTTTATTATATAATTTCTTTATTTAATAAAAATGTTTAGGCATAATCCCACTTACACACATGAGCATGTGCATACTATATACATCTTTAGTAAGTAATTAGCTTTTTTTCCTTTTATTGTTTGACACCTACCATTTATAATGATAATAATTTCAGAAACCATAATCATTATATAAAACAAAATTTCAACCAAATTATTAATAATATTATTTTTTTACATATTTTTTTTAAATAAAAATTTATTATATTATATACACTCATTATTTTTATATTATCTATACAATTTTCTATATGAAAAATAAAATAAAATTCTTCACATCATTTCACAAAATAAACACACCTTGTAATTTTATGTAAATTTGTATAATTATATAGTTATACATTGTATATTTGGTTTTGATTTGTGTTTGAGATTTTAATTTGAAATTTAATTTAGATAATATTTTAATATAATATTTAATTATAATAATTGATTTAATTTCTTTTATTAAAAATTGGACAATAGTATAAATTGGTTTGAAATAACAAACAAACAAACTCTATATTTCATTATATTTTTACATGTCTACCTTTGGAATATTGAATAAAATAATCAAATATAGTATATTAAAAGAAATACTCTTTTCGTTTTAATTTAAAATACCATTTTTATAATTTTTTCATTTTAAAGTATTAATTTTCTATTTTATAAAAAATAATCATACCAAAATATTTTTTTAACTTTTATCTAAATTATAAATACACCATTATATATGTGACAAAACTTTTAAAATATTTTACACACTTCCGCTAACCAATAAAATACTTATATTTCTTAAAATATTACAAAATTTCAAATGACCCATTTGATAAGGGAGTATATATGATTATAAAGTCATAAAAGTTTTGGATATCCAAAATAAGAAGAAAAAAAATAAAAAACACATATAATGGATGTATATTATTGGATTTGTTTACTTAGTATTTTTAAATGAATAATTACTCATAAATATTATTAAAAATTTACAATATACACATTAATACCATATATTCCATAATATACCTTTACCCACTTGCCAAAAGAAAAATAATTCATTGTATTTTTTAATTAAAAAAAATAATATACCTTTATCCACTTGCCAATATACACACATTATTTTTTATGTTACCAACACAATTATTCGTACTAACACAGAAAATACATTCCAAAAAAACACAAAGTGAACAAATTTATTGTATTTGTACATTCATGTTTCTTTTTTAAGAAAAAAATAATACTTCTTCCCATCACAAAAAATATGCTCCTATAACCTAAATAAGAATTTTAATTAATATAATATTATATTAAATAATTATGTCATCAAATTAAAATATTTTAATAATTAAAAAAAAATGAAAATATTGAATATTTATATATTGGTCACAAATATGTAAATAAATAAAATGTGGAAAGAAAAAAGAGTATATATACAAAATTTTGCGAGAAAGAAAATAAAAATGAAACTGTGAACAAAGTCGCAAATTAATTCTCAAATAACTAAATGACCATTTCTTTCTTAATGCAAAGCTTCACAATAATATTCTCGACATGCCAACCAAACTAAAAGTGTGTATCGATCGATGTATACCTCCGAAACAAGTACAAGTGAAATGATACAACATACAAGGGATTGATTGATTTGTCGCAAGAACACGAAAAATAATCGGAAACAACAAAGAAAGATTTCAATTGATTAAGAAAACAAACTGTGATGATGATCTGAACGACACAGAGAACATTGCAATGACCAAACTGACTCAAATTAAACAAAAACTCGAATCAATCAAATGTAGAAAACACATCAAACTCCGACAAGACAAGACACAACTCGACTGGATTCCAGACAAACAAACAGACAGACAGACAGATAACACGGCGCAACGGGAGGGAACCATCCCCCGACTTCTTTCTACGAGCATCAGACGCCGAGAAAGTTGATGAGCGGATGCTCTTCCGCAGCAGGGTGGGGAGGGGGAGGATCGATAACGGCGCTCGTCTCCGAGGCGGCAGAAGAAGCACCCAGATCGACATGGCTTCCCACATCATAGTAAACGGCGGCGTTGACACCATTTGGGGACTGCCAGAACGGATCGGTGGGTCCCGGGATGTACGGGAAATAGTTGCTGTACAGCGGCACTTCAAAATCACGGTAGTACGCTCCTGGAGAGATAAAATTGAAAAAAATCGTGAGTCGGGAGGAACTGCTTCCGGGAATGTAAAAAAGGGGCAAACCTGTAGGCGGGGTGCGAGGAGGGACAGGGCTGGAAGACACGGCCGGGGCAGAAAAACGTCCCCTCAAAAGCACATGGTATTGATTCTTCAACTGGTTATCGGTCCGGCCCGGGAAAAAGGTGGCGATGGTAGCCCACTTATTGCCGTAGGTTTCATGAAGTTCGAGGAGCCTTCGCTGGTCAGATTCGGAAAACGGCGCCTTGTTGATCTTGGGGTTCAACTGATTAATCCATCTTACACGGCAGCTCTTCCCTGTCGAAAGGAATATATATATATATATATATTTGAAAAATCGAACAAATCTATTAGTTGTTTACATCAGAAAGTAGCGGCGATACCTGATCTTCCATCGAAATGACGCGCAATGTGATCCCAATTCCCGGCGCCGTTTCTTCGCACGAGTAAAGTGAGGAGGTTATCCTCGTCATGTGTCCAATGCCATTTCCTGGTCCGCCTTTGGGACCTCCTGTTGGCAGCTCGGGCATTGGTTGCAGAGGTCGGCATCGCTGGAATTTACAGCTGTGAATAAGGCTCACTGGCGATTCTTATGGTGTCTCATTGGGGGGACGCGCACACCCAATTTATAGGCGACAAGGATAGCTGAAACAGAATGCACAGCTGTAACGGGGTAAAATCGGAAACACGATTTTGTTAATATTGGCTGGATTCCATAAACTCGCGCAATAAATTCACCAAACTCAACCCAAATTTAAAATATGAACCAAACGGATAAAGCAGACCAATATTCCCGCTACAACTATCTTACATGTGTCAATATACGGCTAATTTATAGATGCCGCTCGCATTCATTCCCTTCACAATATTCATATGAACAGAGAATCGTTTGACAAAATCATTTTCACACGACAATATAAAAAGATGCATTAGAAGTAGGTATAGCGCTAAAATGAAATCCTTACCGGAGCTCAATCAATGCGAAAACTGAAAAGAGTCTTATCCTTTGGGGGGTACTGTTTTTCTTCTCCTGAAATTCAATAGATTTATCAGTTATCAGGACAACAGTCATAAAATTCATGCATGACATAAGAAAAACGACCAAGATTACAGCCACGGGGAATATTTGCTATTTATTTATCTATCAAAGATTTTTGCCCAAAATTTTTAATACTCGACATAAAATACCGCTCAAATAATATTTTCTAATTTATAAAAAATTTGATATCATAAAACTGATGACCATCTCTAATATCATATCACATAAATATAAGATAAATATGCGAACAATAAACATAATACAAACTGCTGAGAAGAGCCAATATATATATATAAAGGAAAAAAACTGTTCACAATATTCCCTAAAAACTACAAGCTCTTTTATGTGTTTTTCCATCCCCTTTTAACGCAAACCTACTAGCCATATCTTTAGCAATATGGGTGTATATCTTTGACAAAAGCTTCTCAGACCTCCGACGCCTCCAAATCTTGTATGTCACACATGATTCGCCTAATGTGATTTGTCTTGCCGGACCAATTATTAAGTTCTGTCGGAGCGCACTCGAGAGTAGCAGCTACGGATTCCCATGTTATAGAAAAAAAGAAATAAATAATAGATTCGCTAGTTTGACTATCTATCAAATATTTTTACACGCACAAAATCATTCTCAACATATAATACTGCTGAAATCATCTTCTCCTTGAACATACAAAGCATTTACAATTTAAAAACGATACACATTCGCAATCAAAATTCAGAGATTATGTGTATGTAAATTTTTATATAAAAAAATATATATCATGAAAGAACTCGCCACCTCTGAAATCATATCTCCTTATGCGATGTGATCAAATATATTATCAAGAATGTCTAAGAACTCTATCTCATATAAGTTAAATATGCTAACAATATACATAATATGAACTACCTAAAAACATGTAAGCTTTTGGGGTTAAATGTGGCGTTTAGTGTCACTAAATATCATATCCATTTAAGTTAACATGCTATATGGCAATTCTAAAAGATAGTGATTGGCCAATTACTTCTTTTGTTTAAATTGAACTTTAAAAGCACACTATGTACATATAAATTAATAAATATATATTTCAAAGACTAATTACCACTAGTATATTTGATTTCATCATCTCATCCACAAAGGTCAAGGAAAGCTTACCACCTAAATCCACTCAATATCATCCCTAGTCTGATAAGGTAAATATTTTGTCAAATATAAAAATGTAAATGGTTGATTTATGTTTTATAAATTGTTGCCACTCAATATCATCCTTAGATGCTTGGCCTTTACTGGGAATCCATGATAAATTGTTGGCACCAGTTAACTAATATAGTAAAGGGAAGAACATACACATGTACATTTAGCTTTGGTAGGTCGTGTATTAAAAGATACATCTTGCATTGATAATTCATAATGAGGTTATTTTGGATGATGAAATTTTAATTAGTACAAGCTTTAAGAACAATGACTAAGAGAGACGGACACAGAAACACTACTACTGAATGTAGACTAAGAAAACCAAAAGGTTCAGATTGGCTAAGTTCTATACTATGGTAAGGTCGAGATAAAGAACCTTATAGCCATGCAAAGAAGTCTGCTATTCACTGCTCCGCACATGGCAAGGAAGTCAGCCAAAGTGCTTCAACTTCTAGGAATGTGGTGAAAAGTGTAGCCAAGCATTTAGAGATTGATATATATGTCATAAATTTCTATTCTTAAATTGAGCTCCCATCACAACAAATCCAACCGAGGACATTTTTAGAGTCACATTCCACTAAAATTTGAAGTAGGCTGATGCTCTAGTAACTAAATGTTTTCTTCCCATTCAGAATTATGAGAAAAAGGTATAATTTGTTTCACTATATATAGTCAGTAGTCTAAAATTAAGTTGAAGTAACTAAATGTTTTCTTCCCATTCAGAATTATGAGAAAAAGGTATAATTTGTTTCACTATATATAGTCAGTAGTCTAAACTTAAGTTGAAGCAATGTACGAATGCAAGTTGTATATCTTGTCATCTCCTTATGAGGCATAAAGAAGGTATAGTGGGTGCACACAAATAAATTTTATAAAACATTCATGTCTTGAAATGATTACATATCATAACTAGTGATTAAATATATCAACCCGGGAAATCTTGTTGTCTATTTTTTCTGGTTGTGTTTTGGCAAAATGATGTCTATCTTGTTGTCTATTTTTTTTTCTTCTAAAGTATCACATCAAATGCTTATTTTTATTTAAAATATTCTATCCAAAAGCTATTTTCTAATTAATATATTAGGCCAACACCTATTTATATCAAATCAAACAAGTATTTCAATTTAAAATGATTAAAATTCCAAAACAATTCAAAATACCAAAACACAACCAAACAAAATCTTTTCTTATATTATCATTGAATCAGGATGTTTTGCATTATGTAAGAGCTTTGTACCGCTTTGACCTCTTTTCCGTCTTTATCACCCAATCAGTGCATCATATAATTAACATACAGCAAGAAACTTTCTTTAAAGTACAATCCAATAAAAAATGGCTTAGATTTATCATCCAAATCCAACATGGAAAGAATATAACTCAGTTGAGGAAGATTTAGTAAGATTTCATCTTGTGAAATCATATATGATGAACATTGTAAATTGCCAGAGAAAGAAAAGAAAAGAAAATGCACTACAATACATCCAAAGTTTCTTGATACTTTTTTTTTTCTAATATTTTCTGACAAAGTGGTGTTCTAAACTGTATAACAAAAATTCCACATATCAATGCACAAAAACTTATGATTCAAAACCAAAAAATGTTTTTATAACCAATTTTGCAATGCAAAATCTCTCTAATTTCTTGGTAACTCGAAAGAGCCAAAAAGCTGTACTAAAGTCAACCAGCATTCATAATAGGTTACAATAATAGCAGGAAAAAAAAGACCATTAAGAGACAGGTGGAATGTGACTTCAAAGATCTGATTTCAGAGAGTTAAGAAAGTCAAATTTGGAATGCATGTTGCTAGTGTCTTATTGTGCGTTTTAATAGAACACTGGAAAAGGGAGACAGTTAACAGGTACAACTGGCACATTAAGAGGAATATTGAATGACTTCAAAGTTCTGATTTCAGCAAAAAGTCAAGAATCCATGTTGCTAGTGTCTTGTTATCTTTTAATAGAACACTGGAAAAAGAGGAAAGTAAACAAGAACAACTGGTTCTTAAAAAGGTTATAATATCTTAAATTTGGAATGCTGTTGCTCATGTTTCACACTCTGATAAAAAACCACTGGCAACAGAAGATGGTTAACAGGAACAATTGGCACTTATAATTGTATGTTACAGATCAGTGAAACGTGTAAACTAATAATCAAGTTAACTTGTACAGCTCCTTGAGTATTTATTTGACGTTGTATGGAATTTTCAACTGGTTTCTTCATCCATCACAATTTCCGAAGCATCAACAATATGAAAAGCTTTTAGCAATTCTACAACTGGAGTTATTAATGGTCAAGCACCTGATGTAAAAGTTTTTTAAAGCCATGCTGCATTCCGCGTGGCACCACGGATACCTTACTAAAAGCACTGCAAAAAAATCTAATAAAATGAAATATATTTTTTCACAATAGTTGCAATTCTCAATGAAATGAAAGGTGTGTGTGTGTGTGTGTGTTAAGGAAGAAGTTTAATATAATTGAGTTCCATTAACATAGTTTTGTAGAATTAGAATTTTAGTATAATTAGGAAAGAAGTTTGATGTTGTTTGACATCTTCTCCACCAAAATATTAATTCACAACTATCAAATTAACCATTTATTACGCATGTTACAACACGTCAACACCTACTATTTAAATCACTTCTCTAAAATATATCCGAACATAACATCATTTTTTAAACCTTTTTTTTTTCTTTGAAAATTTTCAAATCCAAAAACACATTTGGAGACACCCTATAGTCTCTCTAATTCCACCCAATGTTTATTATCCAAAGGTTGTACACTTTTTGCCAATTTTAAGAGTGTTGATATTATGGATTGTATAATGACATTTCCATTTACTATGCTCTGTGAAATAGTTTATGCAACTGTCGATTCATTTGTCAAGGTTGTGCCAAAGCACATTATGGAAGTGTACTTGTGGAGGAGCCTACTATGTAGTAAGATATGGGGGGTTGCAGTAATTGTATAGATGCAACATACAACTATTCACATGTATTTCCAACTATTAATAGGATTAATTGTCAACCAAGTGGTAAAGTGATATTGAGGACTTTCCATTTTTGTCATCGGTGTTATTCCTTACTTCAAGGAGTTAAAGTTACATAATGAAAGGAAGATTAGTTGCACACTAGCTGAAATACATTTTAGATAGATGTTTTGGTTAAGCGTCTGATTGGTTTTGATTCCAAATCAACATTTCTATTATTCAATCTGTACACAAAAATAACTATTACTTCTATGGATTTGTTTATTTAGTGTTTTATTTTGAGATGTTTTTTTTTTGTGTAAAGTATGCAAATTTGTCAGTAATATAAAAATAATACAGAATTTTGTAAAAAAATAGAGTATACATATTATATACATTTGAAAATTGTATCAGGAAACAAATTGGTTAGGTGAACAAACCCTTATGTTTATCAAATTTGAGAGGCAATCCTACGTCACCTCCGGTACCTCTTGCCGAGCTCAAGCTGACTCCTACAGCAACACCTTGAGCTTGAAGAGATGTTTTGATATATATTTAGTTGATATTATTCATATTTGGTGGTTATTATTCAAGCATATTTACTAAATAAAGTTATTTTTGTTTGAGTTTATCCTTTTTGTACCATGTCTATAAATAAATTCTATTTTCATTAGTAATGAAGAACCGTGAATTCTCCCAAAATGTAACCATTTTTTTAGAAACGTGACTTTTTTTAGAGTTACACAACGAATGGAAGAAAATTTGCACCCATTTATGGAAATCGCATCAATTGCAAATGAATACTTTATCCAGCTAAACAAGTTTCACATAAATTATATTCGACTTGAGGGAAAGAAGTAACAAGTAGATTTTTATAATTAAATTATCATTTACTTCTGGTATTAGAATATTAGTTTGGTAGCATTAGGATTCTATTTTAATTAATCCAAATTTAAATTTAGCTTCCTAGTCATTCTTATCATATAAAATAAATTGGTCTAATTATTCCATACATTGGTATTTACCCTGCAGATAGGGTATTGCTATAAAAAATGTTCAGCACCTACTCAACTTAATTGTGACTGTCAGATGAGAGTGAATTTATAAAGGGATGGTTCGGGCTTCTAAAGGGTGTTATTCTCTGTTGTGGTTGAAACTCTTGTATGATTTTGTTGAATGCACAGATGTGTGTTGTGGGATTACACACTATTTAATACCACCCTTATGACCATTAGAAGTAAAAAAAACAATATCAGAAAATAATTTATTGTCAGCGAACTTTTTGAAGTTTGCACAAGAAGTTTATGTTGAGTCCAAATTTGCAGGCAGTTATAATTGAAAGGTTAATGGTGTGGTAACCAAACAAAAGAAGAATAGTTCCAGTGTTGTTTCTACATGAAAAAACTAGAAGAATTAAAACGACAATGTGTAAGGCTGTAAGCCAAAATACTAGTATGTGATGTGTGGTCATATAACTTCACAGACACATTATATTGACAATGTACATTTACTGATTCAATAGAAATAATAATATTGGTTCTCAAATTAGAAACAAACTGTAAGATATCATCCAAAGCTTCAAATGTACCTGCAGCTGACTCTGCCTTGTTGACTGAGACTGATCCCAAATAAGCACATCCACAACTAAAGCTTGAATCATCGGAAAGAGAAGATAATCTTCACAAGCACCAAAGCACAGTTAGCATAACTATAGATAGCCCAAAGAAGATCCCTGGGAATACCATTAATCACAACTTCTTTGCAGATTTTCTGGCACCCATCAGCTCTACAAGGGAGGGAAGACGTTGAGGTACAGGCACATTCATAGACCTGTAAAACCGTCTTAAATTTTCATTGTAGCTATTCGACCACCTAATAGGAGAGATAGCAGCCACACTGAGAGCTTCTGTATCTGTGTCTGTAGAAGTGCATTCTGGTTCAGTAAAATCAGACTTTCTCTCCGTTTCCAGTAAATCTTCTACTTTCACTTCATTGGCATCATTGTTCTCAAGACATGCATCTTCTGTTCCAATTAATGTTTTCTCCATGGAGTAACTTGTTATGGGTACTTCTTTCTGTTCATAGTGGATGCTAGAATCAGGAAGACCAACCCTCGCTCTTCCAAATAATGTAATTGCAGGTCTCCTGCAAGGGGGAGATAAACTCAACCTTTTTCTCTGGTGTGTGGATATGACAATCGGTTCAGATTGGGTTTCAATAGATCTAATTGGAAGAGTATCCACTGCATTTGAGCAGCTTAAACTTTTTACAATTTTGTCTATGTGTGTAGATGCTACAGGACTGATGCCCATAATTCTCTGAAGAGAGTCACTATAAACTTGTTCATTATTGAAACAATGCTTCTTAACGTAACTCAACTCCATTGCCCTGCAGCTAGGCGTTGTTGACACCACCCATTTTGGCACAAGAAGTTGCAAAGCCCACTCTAATTCATCTTGAGATGAGTGTATTGAATAGCAGACATGCCAAACACCATAAAAATCTCTAACAGCCTGATCAAACCTTTCTTTATTCTGCTTTTCCATGACCGAAACCACTTTGTCACAAGCATACCACTGTGAAGAAGGGCGTATAATAAGAGGTTCATGCTGAGAATCTGCACGTGCTTTCAATATCATTGCTTCAGCTCTTTCATATAGTTTGGGGAATCCATCAAGTAACTGGAAACGGGAAGATGGGTCTTGTGATATGATATCCGGAACTAGAATTTCGAGAGATTTAAAGCATTCTAAATGCTTGGATTTATCAACATATATCTTCTCACCAAATGTGCGTGAGACTTCTACAAGTATACCTTCGTGACCCAGAAGATCACATGTCAAATATACCGTGCTAGCATTAGGATGGTTCCATACACAATTAATAACCTGCTCAAAAACATTCGCTTGTCACTAAAACAGTTCATGTGGAATTCATATTCACTAATCCACACACTTAAATATAAAAAATTATATTCCTAGAAACCCACAAAACACCAAAGAGTTATGCCTTTGGTCCGGCCATTCCTAATCTATTAATGATTGGTATGGTGTCAAGTTCACGGGTTTGGCAGCTTCTTTTCTCTCAATATGTGGGGATTTATCTTAAGCTAAAAAAACATCACCATTGAATTTTATAAAGAATCCAATGCATCAGATTTTAAACAACAAGTAAAACGACTAAATCCGACAGGTGAAGTGAAAAACAGAAAAATGCAAAAGAAGCCAAACATTATCATTTTTCCAAAATATTTTACAAGGTAGAGGACTAAAGGACTGAAAAGTTACCTGCTGAGTTGCCATATGTCTGCTGGGCATCCTTAATGGAAATTGACCGAATGTGCAATCTAAAAATATGCAATCAAGTGGACATATTGGTGCCTTTCCTTTCTTCCCAATGTACTTACCCGGTAAACTTTGCAAACACTCGGGGGTTAATCTGCAGTCTCCAGTGTGCAAAATATTGCCAAAATTCCCTTCAAACAAGAACATCACAGCTCCTACAATTCATAGAAGCATCCTTGAAGATATATTTTTACATAAGATCCTTCAAATAGCTTTAGAAGTCCGATGGCATCATCAAAGCAAAGAGAATTTTTCAATGAAAGAATATGGCATTGATAACCATGAAGTAATCAGATAAAGCTTCAAACTTGCAGCACTGAAGCAGCTCTTAATGTCAATGCAAAGGCATCACTAGAACCAAGCTAAAATATGTGATTGGAAATTTGACATGCAACAATAAGTTAGATTTTCAAATTGTATGAGAAATTCTGACTTATGACGGGGCACCAACTAATGTTTGAGAAAAATGGAATGATAAACTTCATCTATTTCGAATGAGTGATAGAATCACACTAGGACTTGATAGTGATAAAAATATGCAATCCTTCCCCATTCAGGTTTGTTAGCTTTCAATAGATTTAGTAAATTTTGAAACACACACACACAAAAAAAAATTGGATCCATACCTGGGCAATGATTGGCATCAAAAGCAGTTACAACAAAATCTCCATCCTGATCCTCAATGATCAACGATTGCCCAACCTCAATGCCAACAAACATCGATTCATCAAGCTACAAGAACAAAAAACAGCTAAAAAGTCACAACAACCAACAAAAACACGACTACTAACTCAAAAGATCAAGGATCTTCTTTTTATACTTTCTACAAGCAATGCTTCAAGTCCCTCTAGAACAGTTCCGTTTTAGATATACAAAAATTACAGTTATCCACTTATACATACGCAAACTTTCCAAGAGCGAATCATAACTCAACATACTGACACACATTCAAATTCCATATGCAGATACATAATTATATATATATATGTATATATCTTTAAAACATAAAGAGCAATTAAAGAACACACCATACCAATTACATCCTGTTCACTTCAAAAAGAAAACTCACCAATACAATCAACGCTGCAGCCATAGGACAAATAAATTACTCCGAAAAAGTAAAAGCAAGAGGAAAGGAAAGAAATTTTAACCAGGCGCACCTGCGGATAGTATTGGAGAGTAAGAGTTTTGGTGAGGAGAGTGGAGTAAATGGGATAAGAGGCGTGGGCAATAATGCCCTGTGTATGGTCCTTGTGCGCATGGGTTAGGAAATGATACCTCTTATCCTGGGAATTGGGCGTCCATGTGTCCACCGATAATGGCAGGCCCTTCGGCATCTCGATCGGCATCTTCGATTCGATCCTCACTCACTCACTCCTCCCGCTCTCGAGTTTCGACGATCTATGAATCGATGGAGTTGGTTTCCATTATGAAATTTCTTTATATACCAATAAAAAAAGAGGGGAAGTTTGCATAAGAAGATTGGGGTACGATTGGGTGCTCCGCGGTGTATACGCTTATGGTGCACCTCTCTTAGCCACGAAGGATTGGAACCCGCTTACGTTTCAACTGAATTGTGATAATTTAAGTTGGGTAAAGTCGTCTCAAACTCATCAATTCTATTTATGTTAGTTTTAATTTTAAATATACAATTGTTATAGTAATTTTTTACTGTTATTTTTTTAAGTATTTAAATTTTTTATTATTTTAAATAATTTTTTTATTTTTACAATTTAAAATAATTTTTTAAAAAATTTAAAAAAATAAAAAGATAAATTTAAAAATAAAAATAAAAAATTTAATTTAACTTTTTTTTTTTAATAGAAAGAGCGTTACTACAATAGAATGCCACTAGCACGATTTGGCCATTAATGAATTTGCAAGTTTTGTATAAGCTTGGACATAGACTTTGATAAATAATTAATAATTGTATTTTTTTAATAATTCAATTTTTTTGATAAAAAATTCATTCATATTTGTAAAACTTTTTATTTTAAATATGTCTATTTTTAAAAACTGAGCCGGTCCAACTCTAGTAGACCCGAGCACAGCCAAGCCCGACTCATTGGCATATTGAGCTAGATACAGTATGAAATTTTTTGAAATTATTTTTTTTTTTTTTATACCTTGTTCGAATCGAATTTTTGTATTGTGAAGTATTTATTTTCGAAACCGAAAATAGTAGTATAAATTAGGGGTACGCCGGCAATAAAATGTGGCCTATTCCTTATTTTATAAACTCCACGTGCAAAGAAATTTTAAATGTCAATCAACAAAGAGGATGCGTTAGTTTATAAGTCTTTATTATTTTTTTAGAAATATATACTCTCTCCATTTCGTTGAAAGGTTACTATCTTTTATTTTTGTTCGTTACTATTTTCTAATTTAGTAACTGTACTACTACCTAACATAATAAATATCCTTTCAATTTACAGTAGACAAATGTCATTCTTTTATATTACACCGTACTAATAGGGATATTTTTATTTTTTCAATACAATCCAATATAATACTAATATTCAAAAATATTTTTTTAAAAAAGCAAATGCCACACTTTCAATGTAAAAGAGTAAAAGAAAAAATTTAAAGAGAACACACTCTTAGTTTTTATTTATTTTAATAATAAATTTTTATTTAAATTTATATTGATGTAATATTTTTAATATAAAATTATTTTTTAATATAATTAAAAAGAACAAAATAAAAATAAAATATCTGACTGATTTTCTTTCTAAAAATATTTTATAAAGTACAGTGAATCCAAAACTTAGGAACAATGGGCAGCCAAAATTGTCACTCTTTAAGTCAATCTAACAGCATGTTGGCGCAATTCAATATTAGTGTGCTATTATTTTACTTTACTTAAATTCGGAATTTTTATGTCATTTTTTTTATCTTAAATAAATCAATTATAGCATCATTTTATTTAATTGTCAAAGTTTGTCGAAGTGAGAGGGCTTTTAAATATAATTTGGATTATTTGTTTAGCAGAGTTTTCAATTGTTTTTATTTTTAATATAATCTGTATCAGTTTAGTGTTTATAAATATAAAATGTTACAAAAATACATAAAATATTATTCATTATAATATTTTTACAAATTTTCATACATTAAATTAAATATATCTAAACTTTTAAATCATAAACAAATATATTATGTGGCTCTTTCGGAGTTTTTCTTTTAGCAAACTTTTTTCTATTTCATTTTATTCAATTTTCACATTATCAAAAAGTAAAGTTATTATTCACTCTTATATTCATTCAAATATTTTACTAACAAGTTTTTCAATATATATTTTTCGTTTTAATTAAAAGTATCATTTCTACTATTTCCACTAATTTATCATTTTAATATTACAGAAAAAATAATTATATATTAATAATAATATATTTTAAAATTTTTATATAAATTATAAATAATAAAAATGTCAAAATCACCGTGTTTCTACCTACAAAATATTACTATTCTTTTTTAATACATTGCAACGAGACGCAATGAATATAATATTATTTCTTAATTTTTTATAAAAAAAAAATAAATGTAAATATTTTATATCGAGGGCGGGGATTAATAAATAAGTAAAAAATCAGCGATACCAATTCAACAGACCGTCCCAAGCCATCAGCCAAGTCCAAACAAACAGCCCCCTAGTTCATTAGATAATAAATATAAATAAACTCCAAACCACCAAACCAGTCCTTTTTCATATTATTTTTTAAAAATTCTAGCCAACGATTGTATAACAAACTCCTAATTATATGCTTTAAGACAGCAACCTCAGCTGTCTTCACTCTCACAGTCCAAATGGACTGCTGCAACTCTAATTTCTTAATCCTCACATCAATGGCGGCATTGCCATTGCCGCTTCCACTCCCAATCCACCCCACCCCACCCCACCCCGCACATAGTTTGCTATTATTTCCTCAATAACCTCTATATATATACATATCCCCAACATTCCCATTCTTCCCAACACAATCGCTAGTAATTAATTAATATTTATGGAGTTCATGACGTCAGCCATCTATGGCGCAATCGCCATACTCCTCCTCTATCGTTACCTTCAGCGCCGCTCCAAATCTCCACTCCCCAAAGGCACCAAATCTCCGCCGGAGGCCGGCGGCGCGTGGCCGATTATAGGGCATCTCCACCTCATGAGCGACCGGCCTTCCCCAAAACTCCCCCACTTCAACCTCGGCGCGCTAGCTGACAAATACGGGCCGGCTTTCACCATCCGGCTCGGCGTGCGGCGCGCGCTGGTCGTCAGCTCCTGGGAGCTCGCCAAAGAGCTCTACACCAAGCATGACGTGGCAATCTCGTCGCGGCCGTTGGTCCGCGCCAACAAACACTTGGGCTACGACTTCGCACAATTCGGGATCACTCCGTACGGTCCGTACTGGCGCGAAATCCGCAAGCTAGCCAACGTCGAGCTGCTTTCGAACCGGCGCGTCGAGCTCATGAACCACGTGCGCTTGTCGGAACTCGGACACACCATGAAGGAGCTCTACAGGGCATGGCAGGACAGCAAGGATCCATCGGGACAGCTCCCCGTCGAAATGAAACAGTGCATCGGAGACATGAATCTGAACATTGTCCTAAGCATGGTCGTCGGAAAGAGATTCTACGGCGACACGCCGGAGACGAAGCAGTGCCGCCGCCTCATGAGGGAGCTCTTCTATTACTCGGGGCTGTTCGTCCCTGCCGACGCCCTGCCCTATCTCAGTTGGTTCGACTTCGGCGGGCTCGAGAAGAAGATGAAGGACTGCGCCGAGGAGATGGACGCCCTCGTCGGAAAATGGCTCGACGATCATCGCCGTGATCCCGTCGATTATTCCAGCAAGGATTTCAAGCCGCGGGATTTCACCGATGTCATGCTTTCCATCGTCGATAAGACCGACTTCAAGGCTGATTACGATGTCGACACTATTATTAAGTCGACAATCATGGTATGTTATAAAAATATTAATTTAAATATTCAATTTTTAAATTTTTTCTAAAACTTCTATCAGAACAGAGCCTTGATCGCAATTTTGAATGGGCTATATTTGTAGGCTTTGGTCGCCGGAGGGACGGACACTACTTCGATCATGATCGTATGGGCGTTGTCTCTACTATTGAACAACCGCGATGTCCTAAAAAAGGCGCAAGAGGAATTGGACAACAAGGTCGGGAGAGAAAGGCTAGTGGTCGAATCGGACATCAACAACTTAGAGTATCTCCAAGCCATAGCCAAGGAGACATTTCGATTATTCCCGGCCGGCTCCTTAGGCGGGCCGCGAGAATTTTCGGAGGATTGTGTGGTGGGAGGGTACCACATTCCGAAAGGCACTTGGCTCATCGTCAATCTATGGAAGCTGCAAAGGGATCCGACGGTGTGGATCGATCCAACGGAGTTCAAACCCGAGAGGTTCCTAACAAAGCATAAGGACATTAGCATCAAGGGATCGGACTTTGAGCTGATCCCGTTCGGCGCCGGGCGCAGAATCTGCCCCGGCGCCGATTTCGGGATCCAAATGCTGCATTTGGGGCTGGCGAGGTTCTTACAAGCGTTCGATTTCTCGAGCGAATTGGTTGACATGACGGAGAGCGCGGGATTGACCAACAGTAAGGCTACGCCGCTGAATGTTCTTATAAAGCCAAGGCTCCCTTCTCATCTCTATTGATCGATCGATCGAAATGAAGTTTGTAGTAATTTAAAAGCTTTGAAGCTTTATTTGAATTACACATTTCGGGTTTGTAATAAAAAAAAAAAAAAAAACATATATATAGGAATGTATGTTGTCGAGGAGTAGACACTATTCCGTGCAATAATTTATGTAATTTTACATTTTGGGATGTTTTCGGTTACAAATGAGGATATATATCTACATATGCATACTTACAACAAATTATATATTAATATAAATATAAATGTAACGTATCAACTAATATGTATATAAATATATATAATATTTCCTCTCTTAACCATCTATACAATTTTTTTTTTATTATGTTCTGTCTTATAATAAATATTTTTTTTTTAAAGTAAATGTATTTTCAATATTTAATATTAAAAATATTATTACATCGGTTGTGAATTTATTTTCAAATCCTTTGGATTTATTGAACAAATCTCGTATATAAAAATACGAAACAATTAGTAGCGGAAGCGACTAAATCGAATAAATCCAAATTAATATAACCGAAAAGAAATTGAAATTAAAACATTAAGGCAAACACATATCTGGAAATAGGAAAATCAAAACACGAACGGTTGGGGACTCCCGTTTGCGGATATATAACTAATGGCTTAGTTTCCTTAACAGTTCGAGCTTTTAGGTGAGACGGTCATTAGCTTCCGACATGGTATCAGAGCCATGCTTTTTCCCGACCAAATCGAAACAACCCACGCATTCCAGATAGCATATTTCCGACCACTTCCGACCGTCACCGCCACCACCATTGTCTTCGCCGTCACGAGACCGGCCGGACACCGGAACAGTTCGGCGAACGGCGGCGCGTGAGCCTCACACGCGCCTGACGAGTTTTCCGGCCGGACACCTCGCCGGCGCGTGGAGGCGCGTGCGGCGGCCGTTGGCGGCGATCTTTGCACCGTCATGTTTGGAATTTGTTTCCCTCCGCAATGGTATCTTCACTTCTTCCGTTTGAGCAGTTTTGTATCCAATTGACTTTTTGTGTCTCGGGTTTGATTCGGTTTCTGTCGTTTCGGCTTTCGGCTTGAGGTTTGAGATATTGTTTTCTCTTGAATTTCTATGGAAAAAATGGATGTACTATTCCGATCAATGTTGTTCTGTCCGGAGATAATTACAGTTTGTGGGCACAATCGATGAAAAGTTTTTTGATAGGTCGGAAATTGTGGCGAATTGTTACGGGAGATATAGTTGCCCCTATTGCTCCGGTTTCTATAGCAGAAGTTACGCCTACCGCCACAGTTGTTGAATCTTATATTAAAAAATTGGAGGATTGGGATAGTAAGAACCATCAAATTCTCACTTGGTTGCGCAATACTTCCACTCCGGCGATCCATGTTCAGCTTGCCCAATTTGACACTGCCAAGGCAACGTGGAATTTCTTGGCAGTCCGCTTCCGTGCTACTGGTTTGGCACACTATTATCAGTTATGGAGCACTCTCCACGATCTAAAACAGGAACCAGGACAATCTATCAACGACTTCCTTGCCCAAGTGCAACCCCTTTGGCATCGGTTGGATCAAGCAGAGATCAGTCCTGATCATCTTCGCCTCATTAAGGTCTTGATGGCTTTGCGTCCAGAGTATGAGGCAGTTCGTGCCTCTTTGTTACATCGGCATCCACTTCCTACATTGGATGCAGCTATTCAGGAGATTCTGTTTGAGGAAACTCGTCTTCTGCTCTTGCGGTCACTGCCCGAACTCCTACTCAGAGTCGTTCTCATCGTTGCAAAAGATGTCAGTCTTCTGATCATGACTTCGGTCATTGCCCAAAGGTGGAGTGTCACTACTGTCATGTTTTAGGCCATACTATACAGTATTGCCCCACTAGGCCGTCTCGCTCTGGCAGTAGTAACTACAAGCCTCGGCATTCTCGTGGACCTCAGTCTGGTACCTCCTCTGTCACAGCCTCTCCCACGCCTGCGCCTCCTACAATTCAGGACCTGGAAGCTCTTCTTAAACAGGTTCTATCTTCCAATACCGCCATGTCTACCACATCAGGTAACTCTCCTTGGTATTTTGATTCTGCTTGCAGTAATCATATGACCTCTGATATACGCCTTATAACCTCCACATCCACCGCACCATCCTTACCTCATATTCTTACTGCCAATGGTACCCATATGCGCATCACCCATACCGGACATACATCCACCTCATCCTTATCCCTCCCCGACACATACTGTATCCCTCAATTAACCTTAAATCTGATTTCCGTTGGTCAATTAGTTGATCAAGGTCTCACCGTGATATTTTCTTCTACTGATGTGCAGGTTCAGGACGCGCAAACCGGGCGAACTCTTGGGAAGGGCCGGAAGACGGGCCGCTTATTTGAACTTACATCACTCCAGGTCCCTCGTCCCTCTATCTCGGCTGCCACCACCTCTACACCATCCTGCCTTCAGTGGCATCATCGTCTCAGTCATGCGTCTTCCAATAAAGTAAGGTCTTTGATTAGTCAGGGTAGTTTGGGTTCTGTTAAGTTCGATCTTTTAGGTGAGACGGTCATTAGCATCCGACATGGTATCAGAGCCTAGGTTAGGTCTCGAGTTCCATGTGCAAGTTTCGCATACCTCCACTTGCACCTGAGGGGGCGTGTTGGGGACTCCCGTTTGCGGATATATAACTAATGGCTTAGTTTCCCTAACAGTTCGAGCTTTTAGGTGAGACGGTCATTAGCTTCCGACACGAACAAACAAGACCTAACATAAGCAATTAAATCAAAGATGAAACTCCCTGTTTCATGTTCTACTTCTTTGTTCGCTTGTGTCTTTGTTTCTCCATTTCGGCGACCACAACAATTCACGAAGACGACGACATCACCGGCGCGACGGGCAGCAACTCCAATACGCAATGTCCTCTGGCGCCGGCTCGTCACTCTAAGCCACAAAGCCCACCGGAATCCACAAAGTCCACCGGAATCGGCCATCGAAAAGGTCCTGAACCTCACCGGAAACTCACCGAAATCCTTATCTCGGTTCCTTTTCTTCTCCCATCTCGGTCTCTCCCTTTCTCTCTCTCTCGATTACACCTATCTCTAACTCTTGGTATATCTCACTTTTCACACTAGTTGGTTTCCCACACTCTTTAATTCACCCTTAAATTCACTATTTTATATCTATCATGACTAACTCACCCTAACCTACTCACTTACGGTTATAACAAAATCAACAATCTAACTAATATTGTTCAGGGTAAGGTGGGTTTGGATAAATGGATTTGGGTTAAAGGGTCTGAACCGATTCGGTGGGTCGGGTTACGGAGTGGACCAACTAATTATTTATCGAGGGACTTGTTGGGTTAGGCCTCGAACGGCCAAAATTTCCAACAACAACTTCCAATATATTACACAAATTTTATTATTTTTATATTTATTTTAATCTTTTCTACTTTATTCATATCACAATCCAATATAATATTGTTAAAATTCAGTGGAAAAAATAAATGAATAAATATATATAGAACTAGGGAATATAATTTACATAACATAAAATATACAACATATATTTTATTATTTTATATATATATATATTTATAGTATGTCATTATTAATTATTAGTATTATTTTTCTTAATCATCAATGATATTTTATGTGAAAGTTATTACATAATAAGTGTGTTTATTTAGTTTTATTTTTATTTTTATATAAGTGGAACTTTGCAAAATTGTATTGTAAATATAAAAATTTAGTTTTTATTCAAATAATAAAATATATATTATATGTATTACAATCGTCTTAGGGTGTGTTTGTTTGGGAAATTGGATTTTCAATTCACTGTTCATCCCATTTTTTTCCCCAAAAACATCAAATCAAACACCTGTTTTTTATTTTTTATATCATATTAAAAATCAATTTTACATTCAAAACATCACATCAACACCTATTTATATCACGTCATACAACTATTCAAATTAAAATTTTTTTACTATTCAGATCCCAATTTAAAATCCAGATCCTCAAACAAACACAGCCCTTAATGATTAGTGGGCAAACAAACCCAAATTATATAAGATTTTTTTTTAAAATGTAAAAAATATTTTTATTTTATTTATTGGTTAAATTAAAGTATACACAAATTTTCATTTTTTTTTTGTTAAAATCTATTATTTAAAGAGTATAAATTTACAAGCATTAATATAATATATATAATTTACATAAAAATATTATTTTTTATATTATTAATATGATTTTTCATACCATGTAAAAAGAATCAATCTATTCGTTGAATGTGCAAACTAATTATTTTATCTTAAACACATTTAATTATGTAAATTTTATATAAATAAAATAATGATAAGATATCTATATTTTGAATAAAATAAATAAATAACTTATCAACAACAATTAGTTTAATAATTTTTTAAATAAATTTTTTTTTTTTTAAAAGAAACTATAAACGAGTTATTAAACAATTATTTATTTATTTATTTAAATAAAATAAATATTTTGTTTTTTTATTGGTATAAAAACTTGTATAATTAAATATTATAACTTTAATTTTGAATTAAAAAAATGTTTTATATTTAATTTAATTTAATAAAGAAAAAATTTAACCCAATAAATTTTTGTACAAAAATTCCAGAAGTATTATTAACTTTCCTTAAAAAAATTAACTAATTAATTTAATATAAATGTATAGTACGTCAGTATGGTAACATCGTTTAGTACTTTCCTTTCTCTCTGTCTATTTGATCCCCAAAACCTCATTCTTCGAAAACCATCGTCATTAGAAACGATTAATTACAGAGAAGCCATAGAAATGGAGCTCTCGACCTCAGCCATCTATGGCGCAATCGCCATAATCCTCCTCTGTCGCTACCTTCAACGCCGCTCCAAATCCATTGCCGCCGCCAATTCTCCGCCGGAGGCCTTCGGCGCGTGGCCGATTTTAGGGCATCTCCACCTGTTGAGCGACGGGCCTTCCCAAAAACTCCCCCACTTCAACCTCGGCGCGCTAGCCGACAAACACGGGCCGGCTTTCACCATCTGGCTCGGCGCGCGGCGCGCCCTGGTCGTCAGCACCTGGGACCTCGCCAAAGAGCTCTACACCAAGCATGACGTGGCAATCTCGTCGCGCCCGATGGTCCGTGCCAACAAGTACTTTGGCTACGACTTCGTCCAATTCGGGGTCACTCCGTACGGCCCCTACTGGCGGGAAATCCGCAAGCTCGTC